CTCTAATGTAGTAAGCCAGTATTGAGACAACCAGTCGGTGTAAATTCATGATACCAGGTGCGTTGCGTAGCCCTGATTGAGGGGTATAAGGAGGTGGAAAGAAGTGAGTTTACTACAAGAGTTTTGGGCGAGATATGAGCCTTGCACTGGGCAGCATATGGCAGGGCTTGGCAGAGGCAGTGGGATATCTTGACCCCCAGCACAGCTATTGATATGGAATAAATTGCACATTATAGACGTCACTGGGAGCTACTAGGGGCCATATAGAAGTCACTTTACTACCCTACCTATGCCAGAGGTAGGACACTGACCTGGGGTGCTAGTGGTGAGAGCGAATTTTTGTAGTGAGTGCACAGCCACAATCGCACCAGCATCGGATAGCCACCGTTGAGGGCTACCAAAATATACCATAATATCACCTTACTACATGGGTTCCTGGGCCAGAATGAGCTTACTACATGGCTTACTACATCCAATACCCTTACTACATTACGTAGTAAGCGCATTGTGGGACGGGGAGCGCAGCCACCGCCTCGTAACCACCACCAACGTGTAGCCAAGAAGCGGGGCTACTGGAAAACGCAATGTAGTAAGGGGTAATCTGTAACGGTTGCGGAGCTACGGCCCTAACAATGACCTTACTACGCCTTACTACATGCATCCTGAGCTCAGGATGGGGTTTTATAGAGATAGGCCGCATCCACGTTCTAACTCTCGCCGCTTGGACTCGACACCGACATTTCCTCGCTTTGGGCCCAACAGGCCGAGGACAGAGCTTGTTTTGGACGCCAAATAAGCATGGTATGAAAAGCCCCGGCTTGCCGGCTCAGCACGGCTCAGCAACACTTCAGGCCGGGCTTTGAGGCCGTCAAAAGCCCTTGCTTAACCGCCTCAAAGCCCGGCTCGGCTCGGCCTACTTAGGGCTCGGCCTGAGGCCGGGCCTTGCAAATCACTAGTGTAGGCGATGCACGAGCCTTCACATTGATGCTCGATATGCGGCACGATCCCGCTGAGCTCTGCCATTTTGCGGTGCACCGCCGCGTAGGATAGCACTTTGTGATTTGGCTCACGGCGTATGGCTGCGGCACGCGCATCCTCGTAGGTCTGCTCTGAGGCGTTCACAGTTGCAAAGAAGAGATCGATGGAATGGAGCAAATCCTTGTCTGAAAGATCGAGGGGGTACTGAGGCGGGTTTTTGAGCTGGTGGAGGACATCGGTGTCGAGGCCGCTATCATTGAGATTGGCGTCCTGGAGCATCGAGATGAACTCGAGACTGAGCTTTAGGTCCTTTAGATGAGGCGTGAAAGTGCTGCCAAATGGCTCAGGCACGGGTGTGTCAGGTGCATGATCGGCATCGGGAGCACCGGGTTCATCAGCGGGAACCTCATTCCCACTCCCAGGTTCCTCAGCCGGTACTCCAGGGCCTTGCTCGCGCTGCTGACGGTCGTAGTCACTACCCGGGTCTGCAGTGTTTTCATCTTCTCCACCCTCCTCATCATCCTCGTCCGTTACTTCTTCGACTGTCACTCGATAGGTGCGAGGAGGAGGACTGGCATTGGGCGATATGTGTACGGACGATGCACGGTGTACAGGGGAGGGCGGTGCCCCAGATAGGTTGACCTCATGGTCAAGGTCTGCGTCAACAGTCTGTGTGTCATAGAACTTTAGCCTGGGCGATGGAGACCGTTAAAGCGACTGGTGCATGTACCATGAGCTCCAGTTCAATACCCGGCAGCTGATCCAACCCTGCATCCTCTCCACCTCCCATGAATTCATCATCATCCACCCCAGGCGTGCGACCCCCGGAAACAGACGGACCACCTGAGGACGAAGGGCCCCCAAGGCCAGAAAGACCAGCAGTAGAATAGCCTGAACCATCCAGAGGGACCCTAGATCGCCCAGAGCCGACCCGAGACAGTATACCTGAGGCAGCAGCAAGAGCTTCAGCGACAGTTTGCATGGCGGGCGGAGGCTCGGTCTTGCGAAACTCAGCATGGGTGTACCAAGTCGACCTTGGAATTAACTTGCCACCGCCGCAGTGGACGATACAGGAACAGTGCTTCTTGGGGCCTGTCCCTCGAGCAGCACGCGTAGATGTCTTCTCAGTACGTGCTGGAGGCATGTTGACAGAGGACAGCAAGCACTAGACAGCGTGTAGAGGGGAAAGCACGGCGAACCGAGAGCGACAGGAGGAAGGAAGATGCAGAGTAGCAGGCAGATCAGACAAGCCCTTTCGGCGCTCGTTTGACAATATAGGCGCCCAGCGCGACTGAGCCAGACGAAATCCTTTGGCATGCCCGAGGCATAATTTACTAAGACTTCTCAACTATCTAGATATGTTATTAACGTTCTATTGTACCATATTCCGATAAGAAATTGCTTTGCACGACACTTTTGAGAGATACGCGAGAGTAACAAGTGAACGTGTTCGAAGCGCCCATAATGCCGGGTGCAGAGCAGTGAGAACGGATGAGTCGGACGGCTCGGACCAAGGAGCACCTGTACGGCAAGGCCAGCAGTCGATCAAGCATTCTTGCCGTGGGTCGGGCATAAAAGCGAACGATAAATGGACCGTTATTCGCTCGATTTATTCCACAGGCGCCTAAATACAGGATGTAGGACGATCCAGGATGACTCCCCCCTCTGACATGATCTCACATGCCTCCACATTTGTCGATTCTCACTGGGAGTCACCTTGGGGGCAAACCTTAAACTGAGTTCAGGCGGAAACAGCCGGTTCGGCCTCGAGCAGACGCCCAATCTGCTACGCGCAGAACGAGGCTCTGGCTGTGTACCGATCTGCTCCTTACTCTCTGGATCGAGGATCTTCGCGCCCTCTGTAGAGTCGCGCACGTGAATAAAGGCGAGTCATAGACGGACGGGAATGCAAAACGTACCTCGCGCGGGCGGACCCTCGACGATCATCCCGACACGCCTGCGCGGGGGTCCCTCCTTGAGCTGCTTCATGACGTTCTCATGGCTGTGGAAGGTAGGGTTCTCCCGCCTTCTTTTGCCTACCCAGCGCATCAACATTGCGCGCTCACCCGCACATAGTAGAGGGCTCACCGATAACCCAATTTAGGCTCGCCTCGACCGGCGTCGTCTTCTCGTCAAGGTCGTGCCCGTAGAGGCACATGCCAGCCTCGAAACGCAGGCTGTCGCGCGCCGAGCCCGGTGAGCTGCACGGGGGACTTTGAAAGCAGCTGTGCTACCTCGACTGTTTCCGATGGCGAGATGGAAATCTATGGCGGGGTCAGTGAGCCGCGCGCGACGAGTACATTGGCGCGAAAAAGGGGCGGACCTCGAAGCCGTCTTCACCGGTATACCCGCCGCGGGCGACATGCAGGTTGAACCCCTCGATGGGGATCCACGCGCACTTGCCGAACGTCAGCTCGCGCAGGTCAAAGGAGGTAAGTCCCTGTAAGTAGTTGGCCGCCTCCGGTCCTATACGGCGCACATACTCAGCATCCCTCCGCTCGCTCTCAGGACCTGTACGTACCTTGCAGAGCGAGCAGGCCCCAGTCCGCGAGTATCTCGAGCTCTACAGGGTCGTGCTTCGCATTCCACTCCTTGATCGCGGTCTGGAACCACGCAATATCCCGTTCGCGCCGACCAGCATTCGTGACGACATAAAACGCGTCCGGGGCGTGCTTGGTGATCATCAAATCGTCGATGATCCCGCCGTTCTCGTTGAGGAGGACGGAGAGCGTGGACGAGTACGCGGGGAGCGACTGGAGGTCGGACGGCGTGATCCACTCGAGGAACTCGGTCGCAGTCGGGCCGCGGATGCTGCGATGCGCGGGGTGAGCGAGCGGACGGGGCGCGGTGGCGGGGCGGGCGCGACGCACACGGACTGGACCATATGGCTGACGTCGAAGAGCCCGACGGATTCGCGTACGTGTTTGTGGCTCGCGACTGCGACCGAGGTGAGAACTGAGTGGGCCCAACTCGGGAGGGAGGCGTACCTGCTCCGACACGTTCTGCACGTGCCAAGTGTCTTCGAGGCAGGGAAACCGGTCAAGGCACCGCCAATGCGCGTGTTCTTGGTGGGTACGTCATCCGGGGTCTTGATACTTTCCCCACACGCAAGAGAGCACGCAAAGCGTTACGAGGAGGTGCGAAGTCTACGCGCTAGGATTTCAAGAGATGCAGTCGCTGAAGGCTCGGAAGAACGTAGAAGACGCTAACCTGGAGGGGTACGGTGCGCTTGCCTTTGCAGGGTTAAGGTCTGCGAGTCATAGTGTGTCCGTCTCGCGCAGGTAGGATCTTTCTTCTGCGACGAGAATAAAGAGCATGAGATACAAGACGAGGTCGGTGTTGTATGGGACCATGAGTGCAATCTACGACATTCTGGGCGCTGGCAACTAGCTGAAACTTCCGATCGGGGACGCACACTCGCAGAAGGCTGGGGCAGCGTTGAGGTAGTCGCTCCAGGGTCCACACATAGGCTGCAGGGCAATCCAGATATAGTTATGTCGCCGAGTGCCTTGGAATCGTGTCACAGGTGGCCCAGAGGCGATGCGAGGAGACAGAGCAGACCGAGTGGCGAGCGCAGTCGCTGCTGCAGCGAGCAAGTCTTTTCGCAACCTAGAGTCGTTCGTCGACTGCAGTGAGAGTAGAGAGCAGAGAGCATAAAGCGGAGCACGGCGGAGGTCAAGTCCAGCCGGCCCGGGCCCGGGGAGGACGCGATCGGGATAGACGCCGGGTGGATGCGAGCCACGTGGGGCAATCTCTCCTCGTCCCTCCCTCTCTCCTCTCACTCCTCCTCTCTCTCGCGCATTCTGCAACTGCTGTTCGCGATGGGCGACGTTCTAGTGCCGCCTGAGATCACCGCCGAGGTCACCCAGATTCTCTCTAACCTCGTCCTCGGCGACAATGCCATCCGCACCAGGCAAGTTTCCCGCTCTGCATCGATCTCTTGCCCCCGCTGAACGCGTCCGTCTCCACAGCGCAGAGACGGCGGTCAACGACCGTCTTGAGCAGACCCCGGAGCTTTATTTGCTCGCGATTGCCCAATTTGCCACCTCTGCCGACACCGAGCTCGTGAGTTCCTCCCGTTTCCTTGCCCGAGCGCGTCCGACCGCGCCCCCAGATGCGCTCCTTCTCCCTCGTCCTCCTCCGCCGCCTCCTCTTCCGCCCACCCTCGCCGAACCGCCTCGCGCTCTACGACCAACTCTCCGCGCCCGCCATCGCCACCCTCGAGCGTATCCTGCTGCACTCGCTCCTCCATGAGCCCGCGCCCGTCGTCCGCCACAAAACGGTCGACACCGTCACCGATCTCTCCAACTACTCCATGAAGCGCGGCCGTCCGTGGCACACGCTCCAGTCGCAAGTATTTGCCATGGCCGACAACACCGACGTCCACACGCGCGAAGCGGCTTTCCGCGTCTTCGCGGGGTGTCCGAACCTCATCATGGACCTCCAAACGGACGCTATCCTTGCTATCTTACAGAAGGGGCTGCAGGACCAGCAGAGCACCGAGGTGAGCTTTCTGTCGCACTTATCTTCTCTCGCGCGACGCTCCGCGTTTCTGCGTCTCCGAGCTTCTTGATATCTACCGGGGTTCGTTGCACCGGTCGCAACTTTCCACATCTGATATCTCAGAAGCACCCCTCCTTCTTCAACTCAGCTGCCAGTGACTCGACAGGCTGTGCACCTGGGGCTCTATCGCGCGGTCGCGTGCTTACTTCTGGCGCGCGTAGGATGTCCGTACGCGCGTTCCGCGGGACGCTGTCGCGCATACGGTGCCGCCCGATGTGCGTCCTGGCGGCACGCTCACCCCGCCGTACACGTTCCCTAGACAAGCACTCGATTCGCACTCGCCACCACCGTCGCGACAACACGAGCGCGCAATTTGAGTACGTGTGCGCGTGCCCGGGAATAAGATAGCGCAGGTGTGCGTCCACGGCCGCCCACGCAACTCGGTGGCGGCGTCTAGGATCGACCGGATGTTATCCACCGTCGCGCACGCTTACTCTCCACGCGCAGACGGCGGAGAGCAGCGCTCGCAAGACACCCTGAGACGAGCGACGCACGCGGAGCTTGTACAAGCGTGTCCTACCCCCACTCTTACACGCCCCGTCCGAGAGGGTGACTCCGTGTACGGTGCCGCGGCGCTCTACAACTGAATGTGGGCGCTGGGATCGCCCGTCAGGTGCTAGCGTGAGTGCGGCGCAGCGTCCGGGGTTGGAGTTCTCCGGGCGCTGGGCTATGGGCATTGCGAGATCGGAGCTGAATTTCTCGTGAGCTCCTCGCCACATGGGTCACAACGCGACGCGACGCCTTCATAGCTGAGTAGCTGCATACACGCGTGTGGGTATGCTCGCCGTACGGAGGAAACGCGCTCGCGGCTCGACGATGCACGGCCGCTCGTTCACTGCGCGCGGCTGTTGCGCAATGCATGTCGGTGATAACACCGAGGATCGACCTTTAGAGATTACACTTACGAGACGTTGATGTGGTGCAGCGTCTGGGCAGCGACTGGGCGCTAGTCTACGTACCTTCGAAGAGGGAGCTTGTCCGCTAGCAACTCGGCCATATTCCGTTGACACTCGGATAGCTCTCTGCGACTCTGCGAAGAACATTGCATGCTGACTACGCTTCTATTAGGTCCGACTCGCGTCCCTCCGCGCATCCGTCGCGTTCCTGTCCGCGCTCGACCTCGCGCAACAAGCCCAGGCGCTCTCACTGATGTACCCCATGCTAAACACGCTCCCATCGCTCCCGCACGCGCGCCTGCCGCCATTCCTCCTCGTCGTCACCGAGCTCGCCGCGTCCAACCCGCACCTCTTCCGCCCACACATCCCCGCTCTCCTCGCATTTCTCCCCTCGCTACTTCTCCCCGTCGTCGATGCGGGCCCAACTCCGACCGTGGCGCGCCCGAATCCTGGCGGGGGCAGCAGCTTCGCGTTCCCGCCCGCGCCACAGGGCGAGAACGGGGATGACAAGGCGGTGAGCGGGGAGGATGACGAAGTGCGCAAGGGTGCGCTCGAGTTCATGACTACGCTCAGCGAGGCGCGGCCAAACATGCTCCGCGGCGTCGAGGGCTGGGTGAACATCGTCGTGCGCGGGTGTCTCGAGGGCATGGGCGAGATCCCCGAAGACGACCTCGACGAGTGGCTCGAGGCCGACGTAAGTCACTTCGTCGCGTATGCAGTACCGATGCTCACCCGTCGCAGCCCGCAGAAGATCCGACGGACGACGCGTACCCACACACGTACGAGCATTCGCTCGACCGGATCGCGTGCGCGCTGGGCGGGGGCGCGGTGCTCCCGCCCGCATTCACGTTCATCCCCGCAATGCTCGCGAGCCACGACTGGCGGCTGCGGCACGCGGGGCTCATGGCGATCGCCGCGATCGCAGAGGGCACGAGCAAAGTGATGCAGCAAGAGCTCGCAAAGATAGTCGAGTAAGTCGCTCGAGATGTCGTATGTGTAAAGCGGAATGGCTGACGCGGTGTGTAGACTCGTAACGCCGATGTTCAAGGACCCGCATCCACGCGTTCGGTACGCTGCGTGTCAGTGTATGTGAGTGCCACTCCCGGCTCCAAACCAGAGTTCCCGCGACGCTGACATCGCTTCGCAGCGGACAGCTTTGCACAGATCTCGAGGTAACATCTTTCCGTCTTCGAATATCGCCGTGGCGCTGATACAGCTGTGCTGCTCGCAGGAGGTCGTACAAGAAAAATTCCACGAGCAGATCTTCGCTGCGCTGATACCCGCCCTGGAGGCACCCGAGCCCCGGTGCGTCTCCTCCTCTCTCCCGCCCTCCCCCACCGCATCTCATTCCCGACACCGACTCTCGCAGAGTACACGCGCACGCAGCCGCGGCGCTGATCAACTTCTGCGAGGGCGTCGAGCGCGAGACGCTCATCCCGTACCTCGACTCGATCGTCGAGCGGCTGCTGAAGCTGCTGAACCCTAGCGCGGACCAGCCGGCGACGCAGCCGAAGCGGTATGTGCAGGAGCAGGTCATCACGACGCTCGCAATGGTCGCGGACGCGAGTGAGGCAACGTTTGCAAAGGTACGTCTGCTGTGTTGTCCAGGAAGGAGATAGCTGAACGGGTCTGGCGCAGCACTATACGTCTATCATGCCGTTGCTGCTGAACGTCATGCAAAATGCGAACGGGCCGGAGTATCGGAAGTTGCGAGTAAAGGCAATGGAGTGCGCGGGGCTCATTGGTGGGTACATTCAAATTCGAAGTCGAAGTCGATGCTACGCTTTTCTGACGCAACCTCAACAGCGATCGCGGTCGGCCGCGACGTATTCCGTCCCGACTCGAGGACATTCGTCGAGCTCCTCATGCGCATCCAAAGTAAGTCCCTCGTGTTCGTTTCAACGGCTACAGCGATTGACGTTCCCGACGCGTCGCTCACAGATAGCCCGCCCGACCCGAACGACACCATGCTTAGTCACTTCCTCATCGCGACGTGGGCGAAGGTCTGTCAGGCGCTCGGCGAGGAGTTCGAGCCATACCTCCCAGTAGTTATGCAGCCGCTCCTCCGAGTCGCAGGCTCGAAAGCTGACATCTCAATATATGGTACGTTCGTTTGAGGCCTCTCGACGCGGTCCTGTTCTGACGGCGGATGTAGATGACGACGAGGAGCACGAAGACCGGGACGGCTGGGAGAGCATCAGCATGGACGGGCGCCAGGTCACCGTGAAGACGTCCGCGCTCGAGGACAAATGCCAGGCATTCGAGACGCTCCTCATCCACGCGTCGACACTCAACGGGCGGTTCGGGCCCTACGTCGCGCAGGTGCTCGAGCTCGCGCTCCCCGGTCTCCGGTTTTACATCCACGAAGGTGTCCAGGAGGCATGTGCTATGTAAGTACTCGGTCAGCAGCCATAAAGACCGCTCACTGACGTGTACTCTGCGTGTGGTTAGGCTCATCCCGGTGCTGATCTCGTGCGGGAAGAACAGCGGGACGCTGACGAACCAGATGGTCGCCGCGACGCTCTCGCAGATCATCACCTGTGTAGCGAACGAGTCGGACTCATCCTTCCTCGCCTCGCTATACAAGTGTTTCCTCGACACGCTCCTCGTGCTCGGCGGCCCGCCCGCGCTCGCGCCTGAGTTCCGGCATGGCATCGTGGACGCGACGAAGCGGCAGCTGAACGCGCTCGCGGACAAGCGCAAGGCGCGCGCGGCGCGGCCCGCGCACGAGCTGCGCGAGGAGCGCGAGGACCTCGCGCTCATCCAGGAGATGGAGGACTTCGCGATCGAGGATATGGCGAAGGTGCTGCGGACGGTCGAGGCGCCTGGGGACCTCATGATTGCAGTATCGAGTCTGCGGCAGCTCGCGCTGAACCTTTCGGATTGGGAGAGCGAGGACGAGGGCGGGAGTTAGACGGGGTGTGTCTGTGTTGTGCCTTTGCGTGTACGTCTTGCTTTGCTTCGAGATGAGATGTTTGTACGTGTCTGTGGTGTACGTATAGAATTTTCCGGACAGCAGCGCTCTTGTAATTCCTTCGCAGTCGCAACGTGGCTCTCCACCGATACCGGCACGATAGGTTGAATCTTGAGCAAGTTTGCAAGGGTGCGTAGTCCCGCAGGTCGTCGCGGCTGTCACCTTCCACGTGCCTCGCTTAGCCAAATGCGGACGTCGTTCGCCTTGGACTTCAACCTGCCAGCGGTTCACCAACGACCACCTCAACGGTCTACACAAACGTCGTGGAGACGTCCACTTCAAGGTCGGTCAGCGAAGAGAAGCTCGAGCTAGTCGGCAGTGCCCAGCATGACATCTGTTGCACACACGGTCCTGTACAACACCGACCTTCTCTCCTGCATATTCTCCGAACTCGTGCTCCCCGTTCTCGTCGCAAAAGAAGAAGTCCGACCTGTTTTCTTCTGGGAAGTGGAAGAAACTCCACCTGTGCCAGACAGAAAGACCCTTGCATGTGCAGCACGTGTCTGCAAGACGTTCTCAAACCCCGCCCTCCGCGTCCTCTGGTCATCCCTTCGCAGCCTTATGCCGTTGTGGCTCATCCTTGGCCTGCGCGAAGTTCCCATTCACTCACCCGACGAGGTCGACGAGGGACTACGTCCAGGACAATGTGTACGCGCGACCCGGCTGGTTTTCGACCATCATCCGCATCTCAGCACTCACACTCAACCAGGTCCTCCTATGCCCCCGAGAAATCACACCTGAGAGATGGATACGCTTCCGCGAATACGCCGCGCGCGTGCGTCGCTGCCACGCCCCCAGATTCAAACCTAACTTACACCCATCCGTCTGGCACTACCTTGCTCGCCAGCTCCGCGGTGCACCCCTTTTGCCTCGCATGCACACCCTCTACTGGACTCTATCCAGCGACCCCTACGACGCCACTCTCCTCACAATTCTTCCTTCGACCGCGGTTACCCTCTCACTCGACTTCGGCAACAAATACTCGGAGGATTCCGACTCGGACGACGACTCGGACAACTCCGACGACGAAGCCTTGGATGAGGACAGCGAAGCTACGGACGACGATACACCCCAGCACTTGGGAGCGCCTGCAAAATGCGAAGAAGCCACCACGTGCATGCTTCGGGCGGTATGCAGTGATACACCACGAATCAGCGACCTCACGATCTGTAAATGCATGCGCCCCGGCCCCCTTTTGGCCAGCATCCTCCCGGCTCTTCCGAATCTCCGGCGGCTGGATCTCTCGGAGTCGTACCCTGTGGACGTTGCAACTCTACGCGTGCTCTCTTGCGTGGCAACCCTCGAAACTCTCGAGAACGTACCCATCAAGAACGCGCGCGTAGACGGCACCTTCACGGGATTCCCCGCCCTGAAGACACTCGGTGTTGTAGGGGCTGCAGAGGAGACCGAGCAGCTCCTCGCAGCCGTCACCTCTCCACTGACGTGCGTCGCAATCAAGTCGCGCCGTGTCGCAATGTGGGAAGCCGCGTTCCCTCACATGGAAAGCCCGATGTCCACCGTCACCACGTTTGAGCTCGATATCCTGGCAAGCGATCCCGATCCCTACGACTCGGATGACACGGCCCTCTTTGGTAGGGAAGATGCCGACCTCGCACAACTCCTCACGCCCCTCGCCGCGCCCCTCGCCCAGCTCCAAGTCCTCCGGCTCTCGTTCCGCAACGTCAAATCATGGTATGGCATCAAACAGCTCACCCAACTCGCGCAGATGTTCCCGTGCCTGACGCACTTTTCGCTCGCCGCGCGGGCGCTCTGGTCCGTGGGGTACCCGACTCTCGCCGCCGTCGCCATGTTCGCGCGGCACTGCCCGCGTCTGGAGACGCTTCTTCTTCCCCAGCTATTCATCGTCTCCCGCGACATCGCTGCGATCCGCGACCCGTTTCTCCCAGTCCAACACGCGCTTCACACGCTCTGCGTGCTTGACATGGCACAGTTCCGCTTCGAAGCGCGCGATGCAGACTCGGAGTGGCTTGGGTCCACCCTCGCCGCGATGTTTCCGTCGTTGGACGTTCAGGCGTGCATGGAGCCGTCGTACAGCTGGCTCCACATTGATCGCGTACGCACATGGGATGACGGCAGTGTGCCAAGGGTGCGTGCAGAACGGGTCAGGGAGTGGAAGGAGGGATCGGCCCAGTGGAGGGACATGTTGTCGGTGATAGGAAGGCTTCGCAGTGGGCGCCAGTGATCATGAGGCTCCATGAATATGTAGCCTCCCACGGCGCTACACGATATAAGAACTCGCCTGTTCTCAAAGACCCTACACGCCCTGTTAGAATTCTCCTCTCTGTTCCGTACGGCACGTCTGTCAGTAGTGTTTGTATGTATCCCTCACTCACGCTCTCTTCATGTCTCCCTGAGATCTACATCGACAGCGACCATGCTAGCGAGACAAACAAATCAAGAAATCACGATTTCTCCTCGTCCTGTAGAGCTCGTGTTGTTGTATGATACACATATGCCAAGATGACCTTTCGGAAAGAGAATAAGAAGACCGCGATGACGGGTCTCATTCCACGCCGCATGGAATGGCCGTGGCGGTGTTCCCCTGATATTCCACGTGGCTTCGATTCGTTCAAACTTGCGTCTTCCGCTCATCTCTCTCTCGTCGATGGTATCCCTCTGGCTGCAATTCTCACTACGTCTTTCCGTCGACCCCCATGCGTTGTAGCAGCACTACAAGCCACATGCTAGAGGGCGTTCGCAACCGGTCTCAGTATGTTCTTGCTGGCTCGCGATGGCCAGTCGTGATGTCGTACTTCCACCGTTTAGAGTCATACTCAGCGACAGCTGGATGCCCACGATACAGTGGATGCCCACGACAGTGGATGCCCACGACAGTGGATGCTCGACAACTGTCGGATGCCCGGCACACGTCGGATGCCTGCACGACAAGCAGAGACCAAAAACTACACGCTCGACTCGAGTCCTGTCTACCAGAATATACACGTCGTTGTCTCTATGCACGACTACAGACGATGCGAACAGCATCAGCACCTACAAGGTGTACTCGAGCGGCGAGAACAGGCTGGATGGCATGAGAACTTCTCGGATGACACCCGTGGAGAAGCTGTCCGCCTTAGGGAATTGTGTGATAGCTGCGTTAGGCGTGCCCACGCCTCATGGCTACCGGTACGCCAGCCCCATCATCGCCAACCCTCCACTCTCTCATTACTTTTCTTCAGGCTCATGCTCCCCCATAGCAACAGCGCTGGACAACTCAGATGTCCCGGGATACCGCCCACACGTATATTTCGTTCTCGTAAACCCCTATCCAACGGGAAAGGCGCCCGCGCTATCGCGCTCCCCTCTCGACGCCGCAGACGCACGCTCCCGTCCGCACATTGCATTGGCCTGGTGCCTGCCTGTGGTCAACGACGTGCCTGTGGTGGTACTGTACAGTTCAAGCTCTCAACTGTATAGTACCAACCGGGGTGGCACAGTATAAATTGGGACAGCAAAGCCGTACCCGGGAGAGCCACGAAAACCTCTTCCCCTCACCTACCACCCTAGGCCATGAGCCAGTCCACAGAACCTGGTGATGACTCCCAAGTCGTCGACGACCTCTGTAATGGGATCTCGCAAGCGTCCGTCGCTGCCGCAGAGCCGACCTCTTCAGACAACGTTCCAGAGGTACGTACCCACAACGCAGAGCATGTTGAGCGGCGCCCTCACCACCTGTGTCGACAGAGCAACTCCGACACGACGGCTCTAGCCCTACCTGTTCCTCGCCCTCTGATGCTACCTATGCAGAACAGCGCAGAACCGGTCCCCCAGGCTGTACGTCCTCCACCCGCTGTGCCACGTCCCTCACACCAACGCAGCCTACACCGACAGACCAGTGCGAGCTTCACACGTCTGACAAGGCAGCACACGAACAGTGCACAAGGTGTATCCCCTACCCCACCCTGCCCCTCGCCCAAAGGGAAGGGCAAGGCGACCCCCTCGGCCCCGCCCACTCCTTCCCCTCTGAGAGTCCCCGTGCCCCTCACTGCGGTAACGGCGTCCACCACGGCTCCGCAAGGAGACCAGGATGTCGCACCGTCCAGGCTCGATGCGGCTCTACCCCTCACGTCTGCCCTTCGGTCCGCGCACCTAGGCACGGACCAGACTGGGAAGACCAACATCCCTGCCCTCAAAGGAGATGTCCATACCCTCGCTTCGCATCTCGATCGCCTCACGCGCACGCATGCTACCGACCGCGCGGCCATCAAGGATGCCCTTCTGCGTCTCACCAGTTCCGTAGAGGCCCTCCGCGACAACCCTTCATCCACGTCCGCACCCAACCGTGCATTCCAGGAGCTAGAGCAGCGTGTCCATCGCCTGGCTCAAGGTCTCGAGCGCGAGGAGGATGCCCGTGCGCGCGAACTCACCGTTCTCGACACCAGACTTGGATCGCTGGAGGACGACACTCGGGACGTCTCGCGTTCAGTGACCACAGTCAGCAGGGAACTCGCGAGTGCGATAGGAGTGCTCTCGCAGATCCGCACCTCTCTCTCCGCCATCAGCACTCAAGTCGGAGCACTCCAGACAGCGGCACAGCCCCACGTTCACGGTCACGGTGCCACCCATCCTGTCTCCCCCTTCGCGGATGCGCCGCCGGCGTATACCCCTCCTACTCCGCGCGCGAACCGCCGCAGAGAGCGACCGGTGTCGCCCTCGCCGGCACCTCCGCCTACACCCTCTCGTGGTCGACGGAACCAGCCACAGGCTCGACCCCCTCCGCAGCCCCAAACCGACAACCGCCAGCAGAAGCGACCACGCGTAGGAGCCCCGAGTGCGATGGTCCACGCTCCTGCGCCTCTCGCAGGCCTGAGCGACATGGTCTACGCCCCAGCCCCCTTGGCGGGACCGGCACCAGCAACTGTGCGGTTCGGCGCTGTTGCCTGGTCTTCGGACCCAGCGACGCTCCGGACGGAGGTTCTGGCAACCGCCCAAGGTGCATGGGATGCGATTCTGGGGGTCCTCGACTCCGTCCTTAGCATCTCTCGTGACAACACGGACGCTCGCTTTGTGCTCCTGCGCTTCCCTTCCCGCTTCCTTGCACAGTCCTTTGTAGAGGCATGGGTTGAGCACGGTCACCGGGTCCTGAGCTTGCGCAATGTACATGCTGAGTTACTGTAGGCCCATACGCTCTATATCCTACATACGCTGCTCTAAGCTCTGTGTATGTGTATATAGTACGGAAGTGGTGTCCGCCCCCAAAGCCTACCCTGTCAGCGTCTGCTCCTGGAATATACACGGCAACCTCGCGATACGCATGCAGGATTCGGCCCTTCGAGCACAGCTCACACAATACGACATTGTGCTGTTCCAGGAGTCTCACCTCCGCCCACATCAGGAGGCCCAGATTGCTTGGCCCTCGGGGTATAGTGTTCTGGCAATGGCGCGTCCGGAGTCTCCGCACTTCCGCCACCGCGGAGGTGGTTTACTCGTCATGCACCGCTCTACCCTACCTATCCGAGATGTCTCTCCTCCGGATCAATGCGACTACATGATCCTCGAGCTATATGACTTGATCATCGTCAATGCCTACTTGCCGCCGTCTACGTCACTGTGGCTGCTCAATGACTTCGTCCCCATCGTGCAGCGCCTTCACGAGCACCTCCTCCCTCGCACAATGGACAACTCTACTCGCCTGCTTGTGCTAGGCGACCTGAATGCACGTGTCGGGACACTGACTGTCGCTTGTGAGCGAGAGTCCCCTGACGAGGTGGTCTCAGCGCGTGGACGACCACCAGCTGTGGTAGTCGTAATGTATTATAAACCGTTCATAAGCCCGCGCCGCATTACATTATAAACCGTTCCGGTTCGTAATGTATTACGAACACCCCGGGGGCCCGAGGCATCTGCCCGGCACCTGCCAAATATGGCAGGCAGCCCCGGAAGCGCTGTTATCAATGCCCGGCACTGTGCCCTGGCTTATCTCTGCTAGATAACAGCTTTATCTCATCAATCCGACCTTCCCGGACATCCTGATGGCCCCGCCCACCGGCGCTTTGGCTCCCGCCCCGCCACATCCCAATTAGGAAGGTGTACTAAACACCTCCCCCTAGGGCACATTGCCTGGCACATTCCTTGCTTAATACTGGGCGCATTAGGCTCGTTCCGGGCGCGTTTTGCTCGCATTTATTAGCGCTACAAGACGATGCAAACGCGCCAAGAATCGGATAGTTAATGAGGGCGCTACAATGTGTACTAATGGGCACTGTATAGACATACTGCACGGGCTATAGCGCCCCCGGTTCCTTACGCGCAGCCACGCAACTGCTACCCCCAGAAAGCCCAGAAACATGGCTTTCGAACGCTCCCCTCGCGGAAAGAAACCGCCCACGCGTTCCCGATTTGTACGCGGTCCACCTGGGCAGGGGCAGTTTTCGAGTGCCCAGGCCATATCTAGGCCATATCACCGCCTATTTATACATATATGGGCTTATTTGAAAGCCTGCACCGTGAGGGATATTTACAGAGTTGAAAGGAAGCTGCGCGCGTGATTCTGAGTCGCCTGGGAGGCCAGAAAAGAGGCTGCACTTCCAGAAGGCTTCATGATAGGTTTCCTGGGTTCACAGCCTCGATACACCATGTGTGCTATACCACTGAAAAGCCATACTCAATATTGCTCTAATGATGTACAATACAATACCGAATCACCGCTCTGTGCACCTTTACTAGGATGCCTCTCTCCTCACCCCTGCCAACAGTCCCCCTTATTCTATAGCACCATGAATGTAGTGATGTGCAGGGCCCGGCTCGGCCTGAAAGCCCCGGCTTGGGCCCGGCTTGGAGGGCTCGGGCTCGAGAAATACTCAAGCCGGGCCCTCATTGGCGGCTCAGGCTCGGCTCGGGCCCGGCTCGGCCTGAGCCCCGGCCTGCCAGCCACCAGGGGGGAGTCTGAAAAAACGCGTTATAAGTGAGTTTCAGAGCTCGAAAAAATCTCGCAAGTACAACTTACTGACGACGGTCGGGCGCTTACAGAGCACCTACCAAGCCGTCGTCGTTGACGGCCTGGGGGCCCGGCTCGGGCTCACGAAAACTCAAGCCGGGCCCGCAAGCCCCAAGAGCCCTCTAGCAAGCCCGGCTCGGCTCGGCCCACTTGGGGCTCGGCTCAAAGGGCTTGACGGCCTGAGGCCGGGCCCGGCACATCACTACATGAATGGTTTCCTTGCTCAGGACACTATCTCAAAATGTTCTTGTAATCATTTTAGTGATATCAACAGCCTTTGTGAGTGACTTGCCTTTGTACATCATATCAGCTCAGTTGATTCTTGGTTTTTCGCACCTTCTGCACTATTATGCGCGTAGCTCCCCCAAATAACCGCGGATTTGTATGCTTCCTTTTTTATCTTGTAGAGAAACCATGTATGTATAGGTCTGTCGATTTACAGCGTGCCGCGTGGAGTGTCTATGGTTGTACGCTCTTATCAGTGTTTCACTTTATGTACCTTGCGTCGCGCTCAATAGACCGCCGATTAAACTGAAAAATGCCGATCCTGAACTCCCCACCCGTCGGGAATCCGCGCACAAAAAATCGGGAGAAACGCGTCAATATTGACGGAGATATACTAAGATCTGTTGGCACAGGGGATAGCCGCCGACCGTCTTAAGATGGTGTGGGCGGCAGTGCTGTGACAGTGCCGGAGTCCGAGTGCAATGTAAGCAGTGCTACAGCAGGGCAAGGCTGTAGCACTGTAAAATCGTTAGCTTGACGAGTTTTCCACCGTTCTCTGAGCTTGTTTTTGTGTTATAATGTGGTTTACATGCTCTATATAATTGTGGAACCAGATCAGATATAGCTATTGTGAGAGGCCAGATATAAAGGTATATAATCCAGAACTGATAACGCTCTGCCGGAATACAGACACATCCGATTGTTCTGAAATTTTGTACACGGCTTCTCAGATGTATCACGCAGCTACACACAGAATTTGAGGGTGATATGCGTTCAAACGAGAACGTGAGAGGCACCTCTCCCACCAGCACCTGATCAGCAGTCCTAGCAGCATATAACCATACAGAATGCCGGAATTGTTGATTGAATGTAAGGCCCCATATTTAAGCTTCGTTTCAAGCCCAAGAACATAAAGATCCGCCATGGTTTGGGCGAGATATGGCCCAGTCAGGCCTGCCCACCCCCTTGCCAGAGGTGGACAGGCCGCCGAGCTTGATCCCGTGGGCGGATCCTGGCCGCGAGGGGCGCGTTCGAAAGCCACTGCTCAGGGCATTGTGGGGATACCGGGTGCGCGTCTGCGCGTGGGGAACTGGGAGCGCTATGGTCCGCGCAGTATTCCTGTAAAGCGCCCGTTCAAACGCGATGTAGCGCCGCCAATACATACCGGAATCTTGACGTTTTGGCGTCGATTTGTAGCCCTTGTAAATACGCACAAAACGCGCCCAGTGCGACGCCGATGCGCGAATTAATGAGTGAGCTATGAACCAGGCAGTTTGCCCTGGGTGCAGGTGTTGAGTACACCTTCCTAATTGGGATGTGGCAGGGCGGGAGCCAAAGCGCCGGTGGGAGGGGCTATCCGGATGTCCGGGGAGCTCGGATTGATGAGATAGAGGCCTTATCTATAAGAGATAAGCCACTGGAGAGTGCCGGGCACTTATAACAGCGCTTCCGGGGCTGCCTGCCATATTTGGCAGGTGCCGGGCAGATGCCTCGGGCCCCCGGGGTGTTCGTGATACATTACGAACCGGAACGGTTTATAATGTAATGCGCCGCAGGCATATAAACGGTTTATAATACATTAAAACTACAACAGGGGCTGGGACGACGTGTTGTCGAAATGGGCCATGATCTCGATCTCGCCCTGCTCAATGGCACATCATTCCACGACACCCACAGCCGATGTGCATTCACTTCGTTCCAGGCGGGTGGGTCGTCTGTGATTGATCTCGCACTGGTGTCGCAGAACGTCACCAAGTGCGTGGTGGATGAATGTGACGCGCCGGACGTGGCCCTCAAAGTTCTCGGTCACTCCCCAAACTGGTCTGACCATGCCGCGATCACGCTCCACACCCACTACCACTCCGCAGAATCCACGGCTGGCCCTCGCCTGCCACGGCGCACGGGCAACCGGAAGAACGGCTTGCCGCCTAGGACTGGTCCCCCATCTGCGCTCGACACCCTTCTCGAAGCCACGCTAGCGGAAGTGGACGGCCAGGATGCTCAACTACGGGCATTCTATGGCCATCCCTGGGCAAAAGGAGCTCCTCTCCAGGCGTACATCGGTGGGGTGGAGACTCAACTAGGGCGCGCTCCCGTGTCTGCGGGAGCTAGCGTCTATTGGGGTCCGAACACCAAGGCGAATTGGAGTGAACGCGTCGCTGGGCCGCAGACCGTCCCCCGCGCATGCATCCTGGGCGCAATCCAAGCAGTCCTTCTGGCTGACCCGTACCGCACCCTGCGCCTGTGGGCTCCCACGGACTACCTCGCGCGCGTCGTCTGCCACTGGGCCCCTGCGCTCGAGCGTCGGGGCTGGACATGTGCCCATGCAGACATACTACGCTATCTTGTGCTACTTATTCGAGCCAGACCAGCTCCAGTCTTGATCTACGGAGGGCACCCTGATGGAGAGAACAAGAATGCGACGGCAGCTGCAGCACAGGCCCTAGCTCGTGCCGCCGCGGCGCTGCCTCCACCTCCCTGCCCCCTGCCGCCCATACCCGTCTTGCCTCCACCCTTGTGGCCAGAACGGCCGCCCCTGCTGTCTATAGAATACCTAGTCAGCGAGCCCAAAGTAGCTACGACGCTCCCCCGACTAGCGGAGAAAACGGAGGCCTCAGTACGATCGGACGGAGTGCCCGATGCGCTTCTTCTCGACGATCTACACTGGGAAGACCCTGGCTATCAGCCGCGACCAGTTCTGCACCAGAGGAAAGTCAACCTAGCACAACTACTGTCAACACACTCTCCACGCGCATTTTGGACTGCATACCGGAATTTCGTGGGCGACAAGCCTTCACAGGCTCTTGTGCACATCGAGCAGCTATTCGGTGTCTTCCATGCCCGTATGAATCCACCGCCGGTCCTTCCCCCGCAATTCGATCCTCTTACACACGCTCTGAACCGTCTCACAGCCCACTCTCTGCCTCGCGAGACTCTCGACAGCACGGAAGCAAGGCACTTCTCGAGGCCGTTCTCCGTGGAAGAAGTAGATGCAGTAAAGGACCATATCCGCTCGCACAACCGTGCTTCTGCGCGTGGCCTCGACGGCGTCGGGTACGACGATGTCCTCACCATCCCATCCGAACGCCTCTGCATACTCTTCCAGGCCTGTATCGACGCTGGGGCCGCCCCGCATGCATGGCTCACGGCGATCATTGCCGCCGTCAAGAAGCCGAAGAAGGATGGAAAGCTACCCGAGAGCTACCGCACGATTGGCTTGGAGAGCTGCCTCCTGAAGACTCTCACTCTTCTCATCGACCGCCGCCTCCGTGCATGGGCTGACGAGGCTGGCCGCATCCCGCCCACGCAGAATGGCTTCCGCAGTGGTCACCGGACCTTCAACAACGCCTTCATCCTTCGTGCAGCGATTGAGAAGGCACGCTCCCTTGGGCGATCACTCTATGTAGTCTTCCTCGATCTAGCCAACGCCTTCCCCTCTGTGGACCAGGCCACCCTCTGGGCCAAACTGGCTCGATGGGGGGTCTCCGGGCCGTTGATCGACTGGCTCCGCATGCTCTATGCGCATCTCCAGTACCAGGTCCGCTTTGGTGGCGATACTACGGAGTGCTTCAAAGCCTTGATGGGCATTCTCATTGGCGACCCGGCCTCCCCCATCCTCTGGATACTATACCTGTCGGACTTTGACCTCGAGCCCCACGAAGACGATGTCATCCTGGACGGCAATGTGCGCTGCTCGCACGTCGAGCTTGCGGACGACATGGCTCTCATGAGTATGTTGTCCACTGGCATGCAGGGAAAGCTTGGCCAAACGGAGGGCTATTGCGCAACCTCCTGCCTACTCATCAATGTCCCGAAAACACTCAGCAGCATCCAGGGGCCTCTTCCGGACCCCCTACCAACACTACTCCTCTACAACGAGCGCCTGCGCTACGTGGACCTGGCGACATATGTCGGCATGTCAGTCTGCTCCACAGTACGCGACATCTTCCGCCCCCACTATGAAGCAAAAGAGAAGGCGGCAGAGAAGGTTGCCAACGCGTGTTTCTCCCTGGAGTGCTATGTAGGCCCACTCCCGCCGGCGATTGCACTGCGTCTTTACCGATCGCATATCGACCCGCACCTCACGAGCGGCTGCGAAATTGCTATTGACGTCCGTCCGAACGCCCTCGCAGGACTAGAGCGCATCCAGCACACGTTCCTCCGCCGCGCGCTCCATATCAGCTCCCGCTCCCAAATTGGACCACTGCACACGGAGACCGCAATCTGGCCGCTCTCCTACCGCCGTATCGTCCTCGTCCTCGGCTACCTGCTATACCTTGTCACCGCGCGCCCCACTCTAGCATTCGCCGCGCTCCGTGAGAGCTGGGCCCTGGCAACTGGCCCGAACCCGTCCGCATCGTGGTGGAGCGACCTCCAGTTTGCAGCAGCAGCGCTGCCGGTCCCACTTGTCATTAACCTGGCAGCTTGGCCCGAAGCAGACACTGTGCAAACCCTCATCGCCGCCGTCCCAGCGCTTGTGGCTCAACATCTGTGGACGATAACTATGACATCACTGCGCCTCCCACTGCTGCAAGCGCGTCTCCACTTCGACTCTGCGCTCGACCGCGCGCCTGTCATCAAGACAGTATGCACCCTACGCGACTACCTGCAGCTCCCCACCCACAGACAGCGATCCGCCATTGCGCTGCTCATGCTGTCGGAACACCCCCTCGCGGTTGAGCGCCTCAGGCGCGCCCCAATCCGACGCGACCGCGCTTTGCGAGTATGCCGTTGGTGTCAACACCCCTGGGCCGTGGAGACCGAAACACACGCGTTGCTCGAGTGCGATAGCGAACCGCTCTCTACACTCCGCGAGGCGTTCCTAGCAAATCTGTTCGCAGTGCTACCGTCCCTCCGGTCCCCACACTTCCATCTTGCCAGCTCTGCGTTCCTCGACATGCTACTTAGAGGCTCAACGACACTCCCGTTGCTGGCAAACTATGTGGCGGATATATTCGCCCTGTGCGATGTCACCCCCCTACTTATCCTCGGTGAAGCGCCCGACGGTGCGCGCGAGGAGCCCGGTGTACCGGGTACAAACTAAACCATCTGGCGAATGCCTGCAGGATGGTCCTGCATGACGGTGCTAGCTGGAGCGAGGTGCGTTATGTTCTTTGCGGCGAACCGCCTAGAATAGGCTGAGAGTGACTACCTTATTGGGGTACCACCGGCCGCTCGCGCTCGCGACCTGTCCCTACCACCTATGCTCGTACTGATAACGTACTTGACAGGCTGAAATTAGAATCACACGCGAGTGTCGAGAGGGCGTGCAGCGGCTGCCGCGTCCTCTCCCCTCGGAGGTTTTGGCGCGCAAATACGCGTCTTTTTCCCTCCCGATACGAGGTTTTCGCGCGTGGAGAGCCGTGGTATCACTATGATGTCAAGCCTGTCTAGCATGTTCTCGGTGTTGCGGGTATGGGTTGTAATGGGATCGAGGCTTGTACGGGATTGTAGGCTATCTACGCTGGATTCGTGGTCTGTAATGTATTATGTAACTAGCTAGATAAGCTCGTGTACTGCATTAATGGATCGAAACCCTTTCTCTCTCCCTCACCCATATCCGGACTACCCGCGCCAAACCTTCAAATTACCAGCCGATTTTCAGCGATCTCCTTGACGGTCTCCAGAGACGTCCCCGAGACGTCTGCAAGGTTAATCTCGAGCTAGTCGCCACCGGCCAACATGTCGCCAGTTGCACACAACGTCTTGTACAACACCGACCTCCTCTCCTGCATATTCTCCGAACTCGTGCTCCCCGTTCCCGCCACAAAGTTGGAAGAAGAAACTCGACTCAGGGCAGATGGGAAAACACTCGCAACGGCAGCACGCGTGTGCAAGACGTTCTCCGAACCCGCTCTCCGAACCCTTTGGTGGTCCCTTCCCGACCTGATGCCGCTGTGGCGCCTCCTTGGCCCGCTAGACCTTCTCACGGAACCCAACGTACCTGCAGAGCTCAGCAGCCTACCGGGAAAATATGTATGCACAACCCGCTATACCACTGTCTCTGATCGGTACTAAGTACAACGTACACCCAAACAGGTTCTCTCCGGGTCCAGAGAGGTCACACCTGAGCAATGGGCGCGCTTCCGTGAATACGCTGCGCGCGTGCGAATAGTCCGCCAGGACCCGCAGTTCGGCACTTCTCCTCTGCACTACTCCGTCTGGCAGCTTCTTACATACGAGCTCCGCGGTGTACCCTTCCTACCACGCCTCCATACCCTTTGCTGGAACGTCACCGACCCCTATGACAACACCCTCCTCATGATCTTTCCACCGACTGCTGCTGCGCTCGCAATCGACTTCAAAGATCCATACCATGACCCTCTTGACCTCGAAGAAGACGACGACGACATGGCTGAGGATGTTCCAGAGAACTGGGGAACACCCGCGCAGCAGAAAGACGCCATCGCGCGCTTGCTACGGACGGTTTGCACGAACGCGCCGCGACTCACCGACCTCACACTATCGAGATACAAGCATACCGTGCCCCTCCTACGCGACATTCTTCCACTTTTACCAGGTCTCCGGCGGCTGGATCTCTCGGCTACCTCCCCTGTGGTCGTAGCAACACTACGCGCACTCGCGGGCATGAACACCCTCGAGACACTCACCAACGTACCTATCAAGAACGCGCGGATTGACGGCGCCTTCTCTGGTTTCCCCGCGCTGAAAACGCTTAGCGTCTCAGGAGGCGTGCAGGACGTTGTGCAGCTACTCACCGCCATCGAGTCCCGGCTTACGTCCCTCGCGATCACGTCGCACCATTCCGCCATGGACTGGCAGGCCGCGTTTCCCCGTATAGAGGGCAAGCTCTCCACCCTCACTGCGTTCGGTATCCACATCGACTCATGCGATACGGATTTGCCCGACCCGGATGGCATGATCGGCAATAACGAAGATGTAGAGCTCCCAGAATTCCTCGCGGGCCTCAACGCCCCGCTCGCGCAAGTCCAAAACCTGCGACTGTCCTTCGACAACATTATCATGCACTGCAACGACCACAAGCTGGCTCAAGCCGCCCAAATGTTCCCCTACCTCACCCGTTTCGAGCTCATTGTGCGGGGATCATGGGAATATCCGACCATCGCCTCGGCCATCGCGTTCGCGCAGCACTGCCCGCGTCTGGAGACACTCCTCCTCCCAAACCCTCACAACAATTCCAAGGACGTCCTTGCAGCCCTCCGTCCTTCTGCCCCGGTGCACACTGCGCTCCGCGTGTTCTGCGTGCTCGATATGGGTGATATCAAGATCGCGGCGCGTGACGTGCCGCTGCTAGGCGCCGTCCTCGCCGCGGTATTCCCGTCGTTGGATGTACGGGCGTGCGCGGATCCCCCGCGGACGTGGCTGCACCATGACAGGGATTCCCCGTGGGTCTACCCTGAAGCCGACGTACGTAAATTGCGGCGAAAGAGGTGGAAGTCGGGGCTGGCGACCTGGAAGCGTGTGTTGCAAGCGGTAGCGGCTTCGCGCTGCACAGAGGAACCTCAGCAGACGAACCTAGCATGAGAGGTGCGTGCTCCACTCCCACTCACCGTAGCATGTCCACTCAATGGGTTCGGTAGTAATGATATAGCACGTCCTGCTGCCGCCGCGTGATCCAGCGCAGGCTCGTTATCCTACCGCAACATCCCGCCGTTGAGTCTTGGCTGCTTCGATTATGCCCGCGTGCATGCGCGGATGCGCCCTCGAGGCCCACGTACGTTATCGTCAGTACAAAGTGAGTGCGCGTTGCGACTCATACTGCCGCCTCGCCCAAGTACATTGCTTACTCAGAATATCGCTCACTCGGCCTGCCGCCTGCGACTCAGCGCTCCACCTGAGATGACCGGAGACGGTGCTAGTATCGCCCACGCAAGCACGCGCGCACACAGTGTTTCGCTGCTAGACCACTCGTGATCCCCAGACTGTCGTCTCGCCCTAGCAAAGTCCATACGAGACGATGGAATGCGGTTAAGAAGGCATGGTGTAGAGTCTTCAGGGCTTAGGTTGCGGACGCCAGGAGGTGATCAAAAAATTTTGGTGAGCTTATATGTTCGCCTTGACTACTTCTTCTAAGATCGGGATCAGGTCATCCTCCTACGCCCTGCCAGTACCTCGCGATGTTCTGGGGAATACACCAAGTTCTTTTTCCAAATGTCCACACCGATCTCAGTCTACTCCGTGCACAAAGAGTCGTCATCCTGCGACACTCGTTCAGGCACACGGTGCGGATCACATGATGAGAACCAAAGAAGCAGAAAACATACAGATACCGACAGGCTACGCATCTTCGCGCTTGGTACGGGCACAGTAGAAGCCCGGTGTGTCCCACGGCACGCGGCCGCCTTTAGTGTTCGTCCTTCGTGTTACTTCCTGCTCGCAACAACGTCGGAAAGGCTGACAATTATCACCTGTCGCAGTCGTCTTCTAGGCCCCTCGAAGACATCTCATAGACGGCATAGGTGGCGCCGCGGACGATCGCCGCGAGAGCAATTGCGCGATGTTCCCATCCGCGACATACACCGATGCGCGTGCCACGACCCGTGTGTACACCGCTGCGCGAGCCCATATGACGGGTGGGACACCCTATGTTCGCGCCGCGCACATCCGCATTAGAGATGAAAGAAGCCGGCTGAAAGCTTAAGCTAGTATGTCAGTCAGTGTTGTCTGCCCTGGACCGCGAGCCTTCTCTTACGCGTTCTCAGTAGGTTGGGAACATACCAATGTCGCGGATCCCACCTAATAGTTTATCCGTCCCGGAAGAGCGGCATGTCATGGACGTGCGGGCCCCAGTTGCTCGCCTTGGTGTGCGCGACAAGCATATCGCATTTTTAAAGGTACGTGGTTGTCCCTATGCGCGCAAAAAGATACGAACGCCGGCCGCGATGCGGTTCGTCGTCTGCTTCTACTACCACCTGCGTGCGTTGCCTCTCAATACCGTATCGACTAGCGTGTAAACTGACCTGATCACACGGTCAGCAGACGTACGCCGCTCTCTCATGCAGGTATCCCGCTATCGCGAACGCGCCAGCCGCATTCCCAGCAACCTCACTCCGCCCCCGGGGCATCGTCCTCGGAGTACTGCGCGACTGAAACGTGTCTATAAGACCTCTTACACGACCGATCTCCCACACAGGCTCCAGAGCTCGTCGCCACCTGCCTCCAGACACCACTACCGTGAACATGACATTTTCCGACCTCCGCGCGCTGCACGCCGTCATCGGCCAGGCTATCGACAACATCGAGAAGGTGTACAAGACTCAGAACCCGCCTCTCGAATACCCATCGCTCGACGCCCCGTACTACAGCAGCCAGAAGCACACGCCCGAGGTCGACCGGGCGGAGGAGCTCAAGCTCACGGACGCCGTTTTCTCTGCCGCGAACCAAATAGTCGCGGCGTGCGGACAACTCACTGGCACTGTTCATAAGCCATTCTTCCAGCTCGTAGAGGTCATCAACGGAGTATGTCTCTTCCAAATTCGCCCGTACGAGCGAGTCCCTGACCGCAACATTAGGGGAATATTGTCGCTTTGATGCACTTCGTAGAGCAGACACACGTCCCCGAGATCCTTCGCGAGGCGGGTCCTGAAGGCCTCAGCACGAAGGAGATCGCAGCGAAGATCGCAGAGCTACGCGCGGCCACGCCAGGCGCGAAGGAGGTCGACATTGATCCTGCAAAGATCGGTACGTCTTCTGCTACCGGCCGCCTTGTAACCCCTGTATACTCACCTTTCAACGCAGGCCACATATTGCGCGTTCTCGCGACCTACCATTGGGTCCGCGAAGTGCGCCCCGACGTCTTTGCGAACAACAGGCTCACATCTTTCATCGACTCAGGCAAGTCTATCGAGCAGCTCAAGCTTGCGTGAGTCGGAACACCTCGTTATCTACGACCTTTCCAATTTACCACTTGAAAAGCCCGCACAAGAAGTACGACGAAACGGATGGTGTCGCGGCCTTCGCGGGTATGGCGTGAGTATTACACATGCGTCTCCTCGTACCTGACACGTCTGAACACTACGCTGTAGCGGCGATGAGGTCAACAAGCTGATGTCACAACTGCCTGAGTGGTTGCTCACCGGCGGTCTTTCCACGAACGCGACGAACGGCCTCGCACTCGGAATGGCCTACCCGACCAAGCGAAAGTACTACGAGTGGCTTGAGGACCCCGGTAATGAGTTCCGGCTTACTCGGTTCGGGCACGCGATGAACGGCACACGGTACTGGGAGGTCGCGGAGAACATCATTCACGGTCCGCATCCTCTCTCGAGGCTAGATCTTGTGCGCATCATTCTGACGTACCCACAGGGTTTGCCTGGGACGAGCTCCCGAAGGACTCCGTTGTCGTCGACATCGGCGGAGGTATCGGTTCCGTATCGGTAATTCTTTCGGAGGCATTCCCGCATTTGCGATTCGCCGTAGAGGACCGCGCGGGTGTCGTTGCTATCGCGCGTGAGGTGCGTGCCAACGATGTGTTGTTCCCTGCCGGATAATGCTACAAGCTCACATACGTACGAATACGCAGGCCTGGGGATCGAAACATGCCGAACTGTTCGACTCTGCGCGCGTTACATTCCACACGCAAGACTTCTTCGACGAGCACCAGCCGTTCGACATCCCCGGCGTCGGCACGGTCAGCCAGCCCGACGTGTTCCTCGCGCGTGCCGTCGCACACAACTGGCCTGACAAAGACGTACTCGAGTAAGTACACGTACCCACCTCCGCCGCCTTCCATCATACGGGAGCTTATTGTTTACATTACAGCCTCCTATCCATCTTACGCCGGGCGGCAGGGCCTCACACCAAGCTCCTTCTCGTCGACAACCTGCTTCCCTACGCGTGTATTGACGATAAGGCCGATATCAACAGCACTTCTGAAGGTGCGATACGGTCGCTCGTGCCCGAGGGCTCGCCGCTCCTGCCGAACCTTGGCAAGGCGAGCGCGAACGGGTATATCCTCGATATCACTGTGCGTAATCAGGAACCTATCATGTCTATCTCTAACATCATATTCATCTTCGGCATAGATGCTCGGCCTCTTCGATGCGAAAGAGCGCACTTACCGCGAGATCGACGCTCTCACCCAAGCGACGGGCTGGAAGATCACCAACGTGAAGCGCGCCGTCGGCTCCCTGTGGGCGTACACTACCGCCGTCCCCGTGTAGATCGCAGTACTCGTCGAGATCGAAGGTGTGATATCTTAAGTTATAGATGTAGCTGAGCGGCGCGCATTGGCACTTTTACTTGACATTGGGCTTCGAGGCTTCACGATATCTTGAAATGAATATTACGTGAGCGACGGCGCATATTTACGGGATGCACCAACACAGTACAAGCTGAGTGCTCGGCACTCGCGTCGGGGTATACTTCAATATCTTCTGCCCGGCCGGCTCTCGCTCACCGCACAGAGGAACGAATATCCACAGCACTGCCCTCAATTCCTACCGGCAACGCCCCTCCAACCCGTCGCATTGAAACAGCGACGGCCACAATTAGGCCGCTTGTGCGAGAAATGCGATATCACATTGCGACCCGCTCGGGGATGCGCGGGTTGTGTGTGGGGTTTCTCACTATTGTACGTGTTGTGGCAGTGAATTTTGTCGAGAAAACCCATTGACAGTTTAATTGCATCCCGCATAGAGCCCGTATTTTGCGCATGCGCCGTTTGATGAAGTTTAATGTATGGTACAATGCGTAAGCTTCGCTAGTTCCCCAGATTCTAGGCCCCTCGATGTTTACAGAACTTGAGACACACAGGCACACACTGGGCGATGGGGCGATGTATAATACACGGTCAAGATACGAATTGGGGGCCCCGCTTACTTCGTAATACTCGTACATACAAGAAGGTTCCGTCAAGCCTAGTTCATCGCTACGTTGAATGCCTCCGTGATCTCTTCGCAGATGACATTGAGCGCGTTCCCGAGATAGTCGAAGTCCGACAACTGTTCCGATGACAGCGCGTGAGCAAAAATACCTAAGACGGCGAATCCGACGTACTTCGTTAAACACCTGCGGGCTGCAGCGGCACCACCATGCGCCGGCGTGGAAGAAGTGCACCGCGTACGTCTTCCACTCATCCAGGAGCTTGTCGCGCAGGTACACGTTGATGTGCGCGATCTTTTCGGGCGTGTACAGTTCTCCGCGGCTCTTCTCTATCGGGAGAGGTAGCTGTACGTTCACCTATACAGCACGTTGAATCAGTAATGCGACCCGAGTTATACAAACGACGGTGTCAGCGTACCATGTTCAGCGTGAGCTCACCAGTCTCGTCTAACACGCGAGTGCCCAGGATTCGTGCGAGCCGCTCCCCGCCGTCCAACGCCAGGTTGTGACAGTAGTCGTTGATAGCCTTTTCGCCGCCGAGCCATTCGCGGAAAGCCAGCGCTACGAAGGACTGTAAGTCAAGCCTTGTCCAGATGACAAACGGACCCATGCTCACCGTCAGGAACCGAGGCGTAGGATGTATGGTCGGGCGTTCCGGTCCCTAAATTCAAATATGAGCCTCGAGCGGTCCAAGGCACCCGGCATGCTGAGAGAATTTGACGTACACCCGTGCTGCATCACGAAGTTCGTGCCCTTCTCCCTCGCCTTCGCGCCTCCCGCATGCACGTACTCGTGCGACGTCGGGATGGACGACTTGATGACATGCTGGTTGCTGCGCCGCGACCGCCGAAGTTAGCACCAGCGTCTCGAGCACGGAAAGCGGTGTCGTGGACCCACCGCTTGGGCACGTAGAGAACCGCGCAGCCTCGTTTGGCATACAGCCACTTATGGCAGTCCGTGATCCAGAAGTCGGGCTTTGCCTCGCTGAGGTTGATGTCCGGCTATCGATAGATTCCCGAGTGGTCAGCGGGCAATGTTGGAGGGGACGGGAACAGCGCGAGCGCGGTCACGAACCTCCTGGCCGATGCTGTGGGCGGCGTCGACGACCGCCCAGGCACCCTCCTCTCGGCACACGCGCACCATCTCCTGCCACGGCATGAGCGCGCCGGGGGTTGCCGTAATGGAGTCCAACACGACCACAATCTTGTTCTCCCTCTCCGCGGGGTCCTCTGTGTACCCCGGAGAGAGCGGGGGAACGTCGGTGAACAGCCTACCGGAGTTGACGTGCTGCGCCTTGAATTCGCGCAGTTTCGTGCGGAAAATGTCGAGGATCTGGGCGTGGGTGAGCGGGAAGGTGTACTCGACGAGGCACGGTTCGGGTCGCGGGTGCTCTGAGCGGTCGGCGAGGTAGCGGATAGTATTGGCGACGCCACCATAGAGCGTCGTAGCTATTGGACGTATGAGTGCCGATTATGTAGTGAAGATGCTACGTTAGACGTACCGCCAACGAGTAGGTCGCCCTCGCGCCATTCGAAGTTTCGCAAGACGGTGTTGAGAGCATGGGTCGCGTTGGGAGCGAAGACGATCTCGTCCCTGTCCGCGCCGACCAGTTTCGCAATGCTCGTGCTGAGCAGGGTAAGCACTGTGCACTACGAGATAGGTAAGATAATCGACGCACCGTGCTTGCACAATCAGGGGGTGGAAGACTTGGCGGTAAATTTTGTCGGGGTTCCTCTCAATTTCGTATGCCAAACGCGTCGCAGCAAAAAGGACGGGGAGAGGTAGCGTTCCCCAGGAGCCTACGAGGTCACCGGGGCTGTCAGGAATAGCGGAGGAGACGTTGACAGATCGACGTACCCGGGTTGAGGTTCACATAGTCCTCGTCGAGGGGGATGTATTGCTTGAGTGCGTGCCCAAACGGCGGAGGTTTCTCGGTGGGGTCGTAGGATTCACCCTTTGATGGAACGAGCTGAGGGATCGGCATGTCTGAAACACGCCCACGAATGTCAGTGTCAAAGTCAACACCCCGATGAGCGGTGTATCATGATTCCTGCAACGCACCTGTGTCTAGCTGAACGTGTGGATTGAACTGTGTGCGCAGCTGTCGTGGATAGATCGTATCGGAGAGTGGTGAGGACGAGACACAGATGTGTGGGTGTACGTGTGGCGGTGGATGGGCTTGTTCCGGGGTAGAGATGCACGTTTCAAGGCAGATGCCGCACCCCCACTATTTATGTTTTGCAGGAGGCGGACATGAGTCTTACGCATACGCGCGCATGGAACGGCCGTGGCCGACTGGTCGAAGTCCGTCCGTGCTTGTAATGGATATTCAGGTAACCCCAAGACGAAAGCGGCGCACGAAAAGCAGCAAGTCGGCCTACAAACAAAGTGTCATGAGAATGGAAATGCCGATAGGATTACTGCCCCCTTCTTAGGAACGCCGAGAAGCTCTGCAGGCAAGCGATTACATACCTCCGTGCGTGTTTTGCCATTTCAACAACCGGCGGAGCGGTGAGTACCCCAATGAGAACTATCCACCCCGTTTCTGCTGCCGTACGGCGTTGGAAGACAATGAGGCCGACTTGCAGCGGAGTGTCAAGTCCGGCATCCGAGATACTCGGTATGGAGCGAGAACAGTGCCAATAGAAGCACAAAAAGATGTTCACGTACGTCGAAATAGTTTCGCCATGCGGCGCTGTCGTGCGGTATGTTGTATAGCATGCCGTCAGGGCGCGCCCCATCGCGCCGAGCCGTCTGTCAGGTGAGTATGCACGACATGTCGCACGTGCGGCTGCGTTCAACTTCCTCCCCGGTTGACTCGGACGCTGGACGACGGGGAACCAATCAGGAGAACGTGTGGTGTTGTAATTGAGAGTGAACGAACCTCCCCGAATTTATCCCACTCACTTCCCTCGACGTCTCGCGCCGGCACAGACGCATGTGCGGTCGTACATCAGGCTGTGGTCGGGCCTTCACCTTGTACGTTTGAACTTCGCTACCATCTCCATCCCGGGCGGTAGGATAGAATCCAGCAGGCGTCACGCACATCTGCTCCCGGAGAAAATCCCCATCATTTCCGCCGTCAACCTGCATGTGTGCGTGCCACGTAAACTCCCACATCCTGTCAAAGTTAAGGGAACTCACAAGTTAAATAGGACACAAGCTCCATCCGCCGGAGCTGCGTGCTTCATACACGGCGTCGAGTTGCCTACAAACCACGACAGATCACAGCTGCGAGCTGCGGCTCCGACTCGTCTTCATTGCAGGTCCGAGTGCACATGGCTCCGACCGCCACCGCACCCGCGCATCTCTCGCGCTCGACGTCGATGTCCTCCTCGGCCGACACGGCATACTCCCGACGTCGCCGCCTCCAGCCCGTTTCACGCTTTACGCTTCGGGCTTGCGATGTTCCATTGGTCCTCGCCTATCTCTCGCAGAGCGCTCCGGGTGGCATTCGAGCGGCCATCTCCAGAAGACCACGGCGCCAGGCGCTTACATCCACATTCGGCGGTGCGCCACAACCGGCACAGCGTTCGTCGCCCATGGCGGCCCTGTGCACCCTCCTCCGATCAAGCTTTCGCGGCGCTTACTCCTAAATTTACGGTTCGGTGCGCCAATGGGGCCGAGACCACGAAGCGCGAGGTTCTGTGAAATGTGCAGCGTGAGTGCCTGTCCTCTGAGCCAGAATGTGGATAACTTTACCTCGTCTCATAATAGCACAGTGGCGTGCGCAGTCGCGCCCTGCAGGGCCCCGTCAAGCGGGCGGCGCCCATCAATGAGCCTCGGGGGCGGTACCTCGGCGCAAGAAGGTGTGTATACAGTAGGACCCCCGATAATCCCTACTGAGGCCTTTTCCCGGCGGACCCCTTTTGGGTCCGTTTGGTCCGGACAGCTTGGCGACCCTCCATGGGCCATTTTGGTCCGGATTGTGCTCAAGGCCTCCCGAACGGCCCTCCGGTGGTCCGGACAGCGTACAAAGCCTCGAAAAATCCCCGAAAATGGTAATAAATCTCTAAAAAATTCCCAGGGGCCCGTTTTTGCTCTGATACGCGGAACGCGCCCGGGGGCATTTGTTTTCAGCAAGTCGTCGTTTAAAAGCGGTCAGTTACGAACTTACATCACTTTGTATGCTAAGCGCTGATAAGCGCTAAGCTTCCGCCGCCATCTGTCCGGACCACGACCGCATAAGGCCTCCTCCGGGGCCCCCCAGTGGTCCGGACACTGTACATAGCCTGTCCGGCCCCGGAGGCCCTTTTTGGTCCGGATTGTAGAAGGCATACCCCCGCTGGGACCCCCATTTTGGTCCGGACAGGTGAAAAGGCCTCAGTAGGGATTATCGGGGGTCCTTATACAGTACGATGCCGCTCACCTGCGCCGCAGCCACCGGACACGACTGACTCGGATGCGCTTTTCAGCGTCGACCTGGATGGGCATGGGCTTTCGCGTTGGGCAAAACCCGCCACGAAGGGATCGCCTGACACGCGCGCCATGTCGCAGCCAACGAAGATCGCCTGTCAATGTCATGCCAGTGAGTCTCTCGCCGCTGCTCACGGACACTGTGAGCCCTGCTCACCCATCTTTCTGGCACGCTTGAGGCTTGAAGGCCCGTCCTATCGCAGATACGAATCCTAGTGAATACCGAGGCCATCTACAAGACGCGATAGTGGAGTACGCACCTGGGAGCAGCGTGCGAAACGTCGGCATCGCGCCCCGAGTCGGTGGAAGCGGAGCAGGCACAGCCCGCGCCGGGCGCGGCCCGCCCCCGCTTTTTATGTTCAGCCCGCGTCGGCGCGCCGCCGGACGACCGTGTGGTGCCGCCCCGACGCCTGGCGCGCGGATATACATACCTGTGAGACCCTGTGTCAATCCGCCAAGCGTACTTCCAGACCGGACACGAAGATAGGGGCCGGGCGGGAACATGGGCCAGGGGCGCACCGCCAACGCCCAATCACAAATCTTCTTGCGCCCTCATCGGCGGGCGGAGGGAGCGCTCGGATCTGATATGTCGTCCTACTTGCGAGTGCTCCGCAACAAAAACCAATCGCCCCGGCGTTGCCCATCCGCGTATCGTACCAGTCGCCTCCGAGTCATATACCCACCTGATAGATCTCGCTCGCCTCCCAGGGCTGTCCTGGACTCTCACCCCCCTCGACGTCGCGGAGTTACAAACGCATTGCTCCCTATTCCGCCATGGCTGACGTAGAGACCCGCTTCAGAGAGTTTGAAGAGAAGTCGGGACTGGAGACGGAGACAGCGACGGTCGCCGGGTCGTTTGTGCCGTCCGACCCGCCCGCGCTGCAAGACCTCCCGATCGAGGACTTCCCCGATGGCGGAAAGGAGGCCTGGACCGTCGTCCTCGGAGCGTGCCTCGCATTGTTTGCGTCCGCGGGGATGGTCAACACGTATGTTAGTAGTCGTTTGTCCTTGTGGGTGCGGTTAAGGCAGAGGCTGACCCCTATTTGATCAGGGCACGTTCCAGGACTACTACGAGGCGACGCTCCTACCGGCTTCCTCTTCTTCGACAGTCGCCTTCATCGGATCCTTGCAAATTTTCTTCCTGTATGCCGTTGGCACTCTCACCGGAAGAGTCTTCGATGCCTACGGAACAAAGGTCAGCTTTTTCGCTTTTCGTCGCCCGTAAGCACAAACTAAACTCGATTGCACAGTACCTAATTCCCGCAGGCACGGTCATCACCGTGTTCTCGCTCATGATGGTGTCGCTGTCCGAGAAGAACCAGCCATACCAGGTGTTCCTCTCGCACGGCGTCCTGTTCGGCTTCGGTATTGCCCTCCTGTACGTCTTCGTCCCCCGGCTCGTCCTGTCCGTATCGCTCATCGTCGCGCACCTCGCCTAGGTTCAACCCCGCCGTCGCCGTCCTGGGGCACTGGTTCAAAAAACGCCGCGCGCTCGCGATCGGGGTCACGACCGGTGGAAGCGCAAGCGGCGGCGTCCTCTTGCCCATCATCCTCGAAAAGCTGATCCCAGTCGTCGGGTTTGGTTGGGCCGTCCGCATCGTCGGCTTCATCCTGCTGGGGTTGCTCATCATCTCCTGCGTCACCATCCGCACGCGCCTGCCCACCTCGGGCCACCTCTCGTTCCGCACCGCGATCGACCTCGGCGGCTTCCGCGACCCGCGGTACACGCTTGCGGCGATCGGCGCATTCCTGTGAGTGTAATGTCGTTGTGGATATGACTTTGCGCATTGGACTCACATCGAGTACCGCGCAGACTGTTCTACGGCTTCTTTATCCCGTACTTCTACATCCAGATCTACGCCAACTTCCGCGGGGTGCCGCCGCACATTGCAAAGTACCTGCTTGCGATTATGAATGCAACGAATATCCCGTCGCGAATCCTGCCTGGGTACATCGCGGACAAAACCGGACCGTGAGTGTCTTCGCAGATAACGCTATGCTAAAGGTCCTCACCAATATGCTCGCGCTCGCAGCCTCAAAGTGTTCGTCCCCGCAGCCGCGATATGCAGCGTCCTCCTGCTCGGACTGTGGCTGCCGTCGCGCAACTCCGCGTCGATCATCGCGTTTGCGGCGCTGTACGGTCTCTTTTCAGGTATGTCCATAGCATCCTGATCCCGGCGCCCAGCGTACTGACCTTGCTGCAGGCGCGTTCGTGTCCCTCCTACCTACCTACATCGCATCCATCTCGCCCCGCGAGAAGCTTGGCGCGCGTCTAGGTACTTTGCACCCATCCCATGAGCTTCCTGTTGGTGTGCTGACGCGTCTTTCCCAGGCTCGGTGTACATGGTCGTCGCCGTCGCCTCGCTCGTCGGCACGCCCACGGGCGGCGCGTTGCTGAAGACAACCGACGAGGCGCACTTCCGCAACCTCATCATCTTCTGCGGCGCCCTGAGCGTTTCCGGGACGCTGGTGATGGCCATGGCCGGTATGGTGGGCTCAGACTCGCTCCGGCGACACCTGCCGTGGGGCCGGAACTCCGAGGAGAGTGTCGCAGAGAAGAAGGATGCCGAGGCGTAACGTGCGAGAACCTAGACTGACCGGAGGATGTTTATATTGTAAAGTTTATGAATAGGAAAGCAGGTAACATACGACTAAGTATAACCTGGTCTTGACCTCTTTTGTAATCCTAGTTAGATGCACATAATCGCCCAAATATTGTACTTCACTTGCCTATCATCTTGCCCAAGTGCGACAGCATTCTTGCACAGAGACGCCGTCATACTATCGGAGGATTGATAGAACTCGAACGTATGCTTTTGGACGATGGCGCTGAGGAGAGTGAGAAGTCGACGCCGTCTCCCGGCCGACACCGATCTCAGATATCACGTTGAAAGTCCGCTACACGTGGCTACTCAACGCCCATCTCGTTCTCCCACGACGGCTCGTCGCCACGGCCAACCACGCTCTCGACAGCTGGAGTTACTCGTCGACATACAAAACGAGCAACCACTGCGTGTTATGACGCATTCCTTGCTTCAATCTTATGGCTTACGCAAGTAGATGCCTTATACCGAGGCCAGCTCGACGCGCTAAGTAATCCCTCTCGTCACTCTTGAGCAGTATACATGTCTGATAGCGAGGCCTCAGATCACACAACCCCAGGCCCTGACCGCACACGGAACACACTTGTTGTCGCTCTCTACGAAGACAGGGAACAACACAGAATCTTATCGAATAGCGCCCTAATTCGCGCATTGATCGGTACATTGAGAACCCTCCACCCTCGCGCGTACGAGCCGCATGAATACGGTGTTTCGCGAGATACATCCATCATAACACGCGCGGAGGATACTTGTTACATAGGATAAAGCTACATCTCCATATCAGCCCAGAGATACAGCGAAGCTCGATGTGAACACCTCACGCCATTCGTCGACAGACAAAATCCGGGTACTTTGCACGATCCTTATCCGCGCGGCTCATACGGAGGAAGTGACTCCGATCCATCGCTACCCTCCGAGTTCGCGTCCTCGCCCGCCATCATGGCCAACACGGCTCGACCGCACCAGCAACGGCACCACCATGGAGCACGGCTTGTACGTCAGAGGCGCGTCTTGAGCGGCCCGGTAGGTGCTCCAGGGAAGGTAGGACAGAGATCGACGAAGGAGAGTTCTGGAGCTCCTGTGCGTGATGACTCTCGCAGTCTTTGGGATCCACGTGGACGGCGGGCAGCGATCGGAACGATGGTGAAGGCTCCAGGCTCGTCGCGCTACCGTAGCGCGCGCCATGTAAGCTGCCGGACGCGACGGAATGGACGCGCGAGCGTATCGCTAGGACAGTGGCGGACGGGCAGTGGTTACTGGCGCAATCTATGCCGGAGGTGATGTTATGTGCCGAAAGAAGCGTGCTGGGGCGGGTGCGTCCTCGACATAGCCAAAACCGGAGCAGCGCGACTGCAAGAGATCGTTGGCCGAGGTCGGCATGGGCGTCTTGGGTATCCCTCATCCGCCGCTCACTTTCTGTCTGAACAGATTGAGAATGGTAGTCCTCAAATAGTGAATTTGAAAGATACACATCACCACAACAGAGAACGCGCTGTTCCATGCAACACGTGTGATGGATAGTTTTCGATCAGATTTGAACGCTCAATGCCTGAAGTTTAATATGTGCGAACACTCACAAATTCGGTATAGCAATGTAGTGTCGCGAACAAGCCAACTCTTGTGAGTCTTTGCCGCGACATGGGCTCTCCGAGAACGTTACCTCGGGCACGTTTTCCACTACACGTGTCTTCGCAAGGCCCGTGGTGCATCGGATCCCCGCGGAGGAGCCTGGCTCTCCTTGCTATACGTGATCTGCGCTGTTGTCGTCCCTCATCTGCTATTCTGACTACGGAGCCGGGCACCACCAAATGAGCCTAGAAGATCAACAGAGAAAGAGGCGGAACACTCAATCGGAGACCGCCTGGTGCTCCGAGGTAGATAGACATCCCTATACACGCGGCTCGTACGCAGGCAGCGTCTCCTCGCCCTCGCCCCCCACCCGGTCTTCGCCCGCCATCATGGCGAGCATGCGCTGCCCCAGTGCCCATGGGAGCGCCAGATGGAGCAGTCTCTCGCCGGCATGATGCGCCTCCGAGTGCACCTCCACCGTCTCCCGCTCGACGTCGGAAGTGTTTCCTTGGGGTTCCGGTAGGCTCTCCGTCGAAGGAGGGGCAGGAGCAGGCAAAGGGGGGATCGGGAGCTCTTGTCCGTGCTGTTGGTCGTTTTTACGATCGGCGTGGGCGGCGGCAAGCGATCGGGGCGTGGATGGCGGCCCGAAGCTCGTCGCGCTGCCGTAGAGCGCCCCACGCGAGCTTCCGGACTCGGACAAGCTGGAACGGGTGCGTGGGCGCACCCTCATAACACCGCCCTCCGCCTGACTCTTCGACAGGACACGGGAACACGGGCGTCCAGCCGGAACAGCTGCCATGGAGTGGGAGAGATCACTGCAGGCGGACATGTCGGAAATTCTGCTCTGTGTCGAAAGCAGCGTGTGGGTGCGTCGGCGACGGATCCATAGCCGCAGCAGAAAAGCAGCGGCCGCAGCGGCCAGCACGGCGGAAGCAACAACGGCGCCTGCCAGCACCAGGGTCGGTGTACGAACAACGCGGTGAGCGGGCTCGGCTGAAGCTGGAGGAGAAGCTGAGGAGCTACCGCTGGACGACGTCTTCAGAGGGGCCCGGGAGCTCGTGGCAGGACTGTTCGTCGAGGCATGCGAAGTCGTCGAGGGAGAGCTGGGTACTTCCCTCTCGGAAGTTGCAGTACGCCATATGGATGCAGAAGGCGAAGCGGAGGCGGAATTTGAAGTGAACGCGGACAGAGTAAAGGTAGTTAGGGGGCGGTCTGACGGTGACTGGGCTGACGCGGGAGCAGCTGGAATGGTAAAGGTAGTTTTGGGGCGGTCCGACGGTGATGGGGTCGCGGAGGCGGATAGTCGGATATGCGGGGTGCTCCCCGTTGCGGAGGACACGAAGAGGGCCGACGAGGGCGACGAGAGCGGGTTAGCCACACCCGTTGTCCTTTCTGGGGGAGCTTGACTGCCGGCCCCGGTGGAAATGGGAACGATGATACTTCGACAGAAATCTTCACAGACGAATAGGGTGGTGAAGCTCTCCCCGTCCGTTATTGTCGACTCGAAAGTTGAGATGGGCGCCATGGTTGACGGGCAACTAGGGACTCGGAGGCCGACCGCTCCCAGTGTTATATCCTGGCATGCACGATGTTAGCGGCTGCCATGATGATGCGAAGTTACGAAATCGGGAGGTCAACATTTACTCACTGCGGGAAGGCTATGGTCTTTCCTGACGATGAGCAGTGCGGCGGTCTGCTATAAGTAAGTACACTATCTCTACATCACGAAGAGTGTGGGTCGGCGATGGGATAGGCAGCCATCCCGGTGTAAGTTGTCGGCCGGGATGGATATGAGCGTCACGGATGCGCTTCCTCTGCCCCAACGGATGGAGAGATCAGTAGTCAATAGTGCTTCTTGCGCGCTGCTGTCCCGTATACGCAACGAGGCGGTCTGACGCTGAGAAATATCATAGAAGCCGCGCGTTGAGATCCGACTGCTACGACATTGCTGATTTTGATGTTGCAGGGATCAGAGAACGCTTGCGACGCAGAACAATGAAGGGAACTCCGACTCAAGAGATGCATCTATCACCGTGTGGAGAACAGAGTCCGCTGGGGAGTCCCCGCAACGCCGACGCATGTGCCAATGGACAGACTTCGATCACCATTCGACGTATGATGTCGTATCTGAAAGGTATGGGGGACGGATAACCCGACGGGGCGTCCGCATCGAGGGCAAGACTGCCTTGCTACACGCCGCATGAGCGTAAGTACGCGCTAGGCCGGATTCGGGGTTGTGCGCGCCGTCTTGCGAGCTGAACAGGCCATCTTATACACATCCTGTTGAGCGGAAGAGAAGGAGTCGCCCGAAGGGTATGGCAAGCTGCTCTCGATCAGCCCGTGTTGTTGTGGAAGAGACGCGCGGACTCACGTTCACAGTTGCGGGCATGCGGGCATGCGACGGTACACAGGTACGGGGACCGTCCAAGAGGGCGCGACTCGAGGTATATCTCTACTGGAGCGGCGGCCATGGTTGTCAGCTCCTCCAGGGATAGATAGCAGTGCTAGCCCAATGCTGACGGTACATGCGTACTGCACATACGACGGGGTTGTGGTCAAATGCGTACGCAGACCAGAACTGTCGTTCGACTACGTCAGTGCGGAGAGCATGCGTGCGCGGACGAGTGCAATCAACTCACCACGGATAGCCTGAGCGTAAACGTTGACGATCTCTTCGTGGATCCGCCAGCCGCCAGAACAGCGACGCGTTCGTCCGACGACTGCAGCGCTCTGGCATAGAACGGTCTAGTGGCGAGCGCAATCGAAACGGTCGTGGTCAAACGAGCGACCCTCCCTCTGCGCAGGACATCGCGGGCGCTAAACAGCACGTGGCAATGACGGCACGCGTCGGCGCCTGCATGCGAGCGCGTGCGCGCTGCTTTCGACAACACAGGACAGCACCTCTAGATGGCACGACCACCAGCGATCGCTCCCGCTGCACGACTATTCCGGAGATGGTCGATAAGTCTGTGGTTGGCGAGGACAGGCCGATCGTGCACGGGTGCGTCTAACCCTGTCGAGAGCTCGAGCAGGAGGGAGCTGGGAACGAGCGGACGACGTCTCAGGCGCGCGCGCCTCCCACCCCGCGTCCGTGTTGTCGACGTAGCCAAAGCCGGAGCAAAACACTATTCAAAATGATGTTCAAGAGCCTCTCCGCCGTTGCCGTCATCGCCGCCCCCGCCGGTGTCAACGCCCAGGATGCGACCTCCAGCGCGCCCCCGACCTCCACCTCGGGCCTCCCCACCTGCATCCTCACCTGCATCGCAACGGCCGCGACTCAGGGCTGGCGCTCTGCTATGTGAGTGGTCTACAATCTTCCCCTTGCTCATGTCGTTAACGCGTTCGGATCAGCGCCGACATAAACTGCCTGTGCACGAACACCGCCGTCCAGCAGGCGTCCCTCTCGGATCTCCTGCCTGCAGTCCACCTACTCATCCGACAAGCTCGCCGCCGCCGTCGCCCTCCATTCATAGGAGTGCGCCGCAGCTACACTCACTCCCATCTCTCCCTCTCTGCCTTTCACTAACACCCCCTCATAGTCTATAGTCTCCGGCGCGAGCTCAGTCTCGAGCGCCGCCTCGACCAACGCATCGTCCGCCACCAGCGCCGCCACCAGCGCAGCGACGAGCATCGCCTCCGGGGCCTCCTCCGCCGAGTCTTCCGCGACCTCCGCGCTCTCGAGCGTGATCAGCTCGGTGGCGAGCACGGCGTCGTCCGCGGCGAGCAGTATCTCGAGGCGCCTGAACAGCGCGATGTCGACGTCGATCCCCGTCACGAGCGGGGCGAGCAGTGCTGGGGCGAGCCAGACGAGCAATGCGGCGAGTGCGATGGGCCGGGGGAGTGTTGGTGGGAGCTACGAGGGGCTTGTGGGCACGGGCGTTGCGCTCGTGGGTGCTGTGATTGGGGCTGGGCTCGTTTTGTGAGCGGGGTACCCTGGACCGAGTGTGTCGAGGATATCGATGTCAGTCGTTCCGAGCCCGACGTGCATCGAAACTACAGAGTGTGAGTCCGCAAGACGTCAACGCACCTTCATTGTCCCTAACGAGTGCCTGAAGCTCCGGCTTGCATCGGTGCAATGAGGACGGATGTGCAGAAGGTTGTAGCGTAGTAGCCGGGTATACATTGGATGGTGCATGTACTGTGTTGTACATTCCCACCTATATCTACAAGAAAATGTCTGTCGCAGAAGAATACGGAAGGAAATAAAAGTATCAGGCCATCGAGTTTCCGGCATCCGATCCGCCGCTCTCCAAAATGTCCCCTCCCAGCTCGGAACCGGACGGCAGTGCAAATTCCAGCGACCTCATGTCTTCGTCGTCATCATCATGGAAGGAGCGGATTGTGCCACCAATCAGACCGAGGACCGGCCGGAGCTCTGGCGAGGCCCGTGCACTCGGGGTGTCGCCGCTGCCAGTGTTGAGGGTGAGGGAGGAGAGGGACGTGTCGGCCGCCCCTTCGAGCCGTGCGTTCGTCTCGTGGAGCGCGAGCAGGAAGTGGCTGTTCAGGATGGAGGAGATGCTGTGGAGGGTCGCGTCGCGTGAGCGGGGGTTAATGGAACTGGAAGGGAAATGAACTGACGGGTCGACAAAGGAGAGAACATAAGAGGAATTTCCTGCGAAGGGTATGGCAATCTAAAGGGCAAGGTAAGTGTCGCTACATGTGTGCCTTTCAGGCCTGGTACGCACTGAGAGTATGACGAATACCATGTCCACCATGTTTATGGAGACAAGTGTTCTGCACGCGAATTAGTCAGCACTCACGCTGCAGTGCCAGATCGATGAGTAACGCACAAGAAATAGACCGCTCCTAAGCCAGAAAAGAGTCGCAAATCAGAATGCAACCCATGCCTGGACCATTGTATCAAGTGTACCATTCTCCCACATCACCTGTTGGAGGGATGGCCGCTTCAGGAAGCCTGTCCTGAGCTGGATTGTTGTACGCCTTTGATGCCAAGTGATGGCGATGGCGAGCGATTCCACGAGAATGAGAGAGCCCCGCGAGGCAATGGTCACTGTCCAGGTAATACGTGAGTAGCTGTCCACTCGGTAGGAGTCGCTGTACTGACATCTGTCGGACGGACGGGTGAGCACAATGCACATATTTCTGGGTACTAGTGGTGGAAGGAGAGAACCCACCCAATTCCGAGGTTCCTGCTGGCGGTGTTGGTCCTGATGCAATTCAGCGGCGCAGGGAGGTTGCTTGGAAGCTGTTGGTATCTGGTGCTCTGTGGAAGTCGTACCCATCAGCATGCGCATAGCGATAACCGTGACAGGGGGCTGACCGCATTGATGACGAACGGAACCATGCTCAGCACCAGTGCGATCCCACTCAGGATCCTGTTCTTTTGTGAGAGCGCATATATTCGTAGGGTGGTGAACACTGGTGTACTATTGTCAATGGGTTTGGTTGTGGTGAATAGCAAATACACCTACTGGCAGATCCCACCAGGCTCAGCAGCTCTAGGACATTGGTAAGCCAGATCAGTGAAGCACAGCTGATGGGAGACCAGGCATCAGAGCGTGAACACATGCAATGAATGGCTGACAATGAACATGTACCTCTGTATATGCAGGTGAGTCTCAACTTTATGTGCTGAGGGGGAGGATATTCAGACTCACAATGTCTGAAATAGACGGAATGGTCCCAAGGCTCAGGAGAAGATACAACAAGTACATGTACCTGTTGCACAGATATAGGATTTGTGGAATCCACTTCTTTGATTTTCGCCAGATATATCGGTACTCTTGGCCTGAGGTGAGGAAAACGTCGTACAGGAGCAGCACTGTCGAGCGCAGGTGAGCATTTCACATACAACACGGACACCAAGAGCACTTCAATGAGGTACGTACCTGTGGGTGCCATCGCAAACGAGAGGTCTGTTGTCCTGCACAGTTTTACCGTTAGTGACATGCACAAAGACATGCATCCGAATGAGCAGACTTACACTGCCTGATATGTGGCAACCACTTGGGCCGCTGCAGTGGAGCTCTGCAGCGACATGTCTGCAATATGCGACGATGATTCCGCACTGCACAAATGGCTTGAGAGGCGGGAATATGAGTCTGGAGGCGCTATCGCTGGAAGGGCCGCTTTTAAGCCATACTCCTCGAGTGGGCACAAGGCGACGTCATTGTCACTTGAGATAGTCTGGCACATGAACGAACTGCACCCTCAGTGTTGCACACATCCCGTCAGATGGGGACCACACAGGTGTTCGATCGCAAGTACCGAGTGGGTAATCGCCATACGAGCACGTTGTATTTTTAACTACAGATCGAGACGGTCACGAGTTCATCTCGATGGTACGATGGATGTGTCTGCGCTTCTACACTCCGTTGAACATCGCACTCCAGAGCCATGTTGCAAACGTGCTCACCACGGCTTCAACAAGATGCACACAATGCGGTGCGTTGCCGAGCATGCCGCTGGTGGTGAAGTCGCTCGTGTTCATGCCCGAGCTTTCATGATGCAAGATGGTCGCCTCGCGGCACTATGGTCGAGAAGTGGTCAGATTTAGCATCTTCATCGACGTGTTGATGCATTTGAGAGGCACGTACCCTTCATCCAATCTTCAGCCGTATGCAGCTCCCTTCCGCCGCTGCGCTGAGCTCGGAGGTGGCCTTGCGGGTCGCAGTGACGGTGTGCCCGAGCGCGTGGAGGGCCGGTGTTGAGGTGGAAAGAGAGCTCCAGCTATGCGCACGGCGGCCGCTCCCCGACTCGGAGAATCTGTGGTCGCTGTAGGTCAGCAAACAAAGACACATGCAGAATGCGGAGACGAGGGACAATCCGACGCCAGTGCAGCCTCAGGCTTCCAGTGAAGCGAAGTGGATTGGAAGCGTCGGATGTTGGCGTGCCGCCGCTCGCGCCGAACGCAGTACGCAGGCAGCGGTTCCGACCCGCCGCTCCTCCCCACCGAGCGTGCGTCGTCCGAGCCGCCCGCCATCATGGCGAGCACGCGCTGTCCGACTCGGCCCACGGGAGCGCAAGATGGAGGAGCCGCTCTTCGTGCGCCCCCGCCCCGCCACCGTCTCCACTGGCAGCCCGGGCGTCGTTGCAGTGACGTCCAGGGACACGGCGTGACTTTCTGGGCAGTCGAGGAGGTGCTCCGCTGCAGGCAGAGCAGCGCGTGGCGGAGGAGGGCCGGGGAGCGCTTGTTCGCGATATCCGCCCCTCTTGTGATTCGCTGACATCCGGACGGGCGAGGGTCGCAACGAGTAGGACGGCTCGGCGCGAGTCGTCACACTGCCATACCACGCGCCGCGAGAGCTGTCGGACACGAGGGAATGGGCACGCATGCGTGTCTCTGCAGCACCGCTGTCCGCCCGAGTCCCCGAAGAGACTGGGGAGTGGGAGCGGGCGACTGGAACAGTTGCGGCGGTGGAACGATCGCTGGTGCATACGCCTGCGGTGCTGTTTTGTGCCAAACGCAGCGCGCAGACACTGGCGCATCGTCGATGCAGCCAAAGGCGGAGCAGAACAGCGGCGGCCGCTGTGACCAGGACGACAGAGACAACAACACCTGCGAGGACCGAATTCGGAACACGGGAGACGCGGGTGGACTCGGAGGCCCGAGTGGAACTCGGAGAGATAGGAAATGACGGGCTCTCACTGGGCGATGTCTGCGGAGAGCCTGTGCTTGTTGTACGACTATCCGCCAAGGAGTGCGATGTCTCCAGAGTTGCGGACGATTTCGTCTCGGAGGGCGAAGTGAAGGCAGTTGCGGTGGTTGAAGTGGACGACGACAGGGGAGCAGGTCGCGTAAGTGCGGGAGGGGGTTTGGTAGAGGGCGCTGTGATCGTGGGCGAGGCCGTGACGGGGTCTGATGACGGCGATGGGGTATTGCCTGTGACGGAAAAGGTCGATAGGCTGGTACTAGTCGCGGTGTCCTCCGTTGTAGAGAGCGTAGAGAGGGGCTGTGAGAGAGATGACAGCGCGTCAGTCGCCCCAGACGGCGTGTCCTGGGTAGAGCTCGGCACCGTTCCACTTGACGCAGTCGGGGTAGGATCCGAGTCTATAACGATACTCGTATCGGAGCAGGCAACAAACAAACAGTGCGGATGAACCACCGCCATGTGTTTCGTCGGTAGGTGTGTTGCTTGCATAGTCCACAAGGAAACGGGGGAGGCCAGCTTCGACTTTGATCGTGTGTAGTGCGTCCTGCCAGTCACATTGGAGGTCAGCGAACGAGATGTGCATACATGTTCAGGAGATACACAGGATAGCACTCACTGCGGGAGCCCGAGCAGGCTCTGGCCATTCCTCACCGTGAGCGGCAGAGAAGTCTGCTATAACGTAGTATGTTATCTCTGCATCAAGAAGCATGTCAGCGAAGGGGCCGGCGACGAGTGTTGGCCGGACATCACGAAGAGTCGCATCTTTTCCGACAGACAGATAACAACGGTACTCAATAGCACTGCTCGCGCACTGCCGTCCCGTATACGCAACGAGGCGGTCTGGCGCTGATGAATGTCATAGAAGCCTCGCGTTGAGATCCGACTGCTGCAACATTGCTGATTTTGATATTGCAGGGATCAGAGAACTCTTGCGACGCAAAACGAAGAAGGGGACTCCGACGCAAGAGATGCATCTATCATCGTGTGGAGAACAGAGTGCGCTCGGGAGTCCCTGCAACGCCAACGCGTGCGCGGCCACTGGACAGACTTCGGTCACCATTCGATGTATGGTGTCGTATCTGAACGGTACGGACACTCACATGTGGTGTAGTTCCGCAGACACGTGGACTCTCGAACATCTCCTCGGCTACGTGTTTGGTGCCTCACATATTTGCGAGAGTTGCTGTTCAACGAACTCGGAAGGGAGAGTGATGCGTCCTGCAAAAGTTAGACTATCCAGAGCCTTGGTTAGTTTTTACTTTGAACCCAGCGACGACCCGGCATCGCGCAACAATGTCCTCTTACCATCCAAAACACGCCCAATGCGAGTCCACCGGCCCTGTAAGCCCGGTGAAAAGTCCCCCTGGCGAGGGCTGGTGGCTACCGGTGGGTACTGGCACTGCCAGATGTAACCGGCGCCCTCTGCGCATATCTGGACGAGCGTCTATATATAAACGTCTCGCAACCTTCTCTCATCGTGCACAACATGTTTCGCCTGCTCGACCGCGCTCGAGCATGCCAAAACGCGTGTTTTTCATGTTTCGCTGCCCGGCCTAGGTTCTGCTTTGTTTCGGAAGTGCTCTGTTCCACTCCATGCAAGCGCCCGTATGGGTTGCGTTCGGGGCGCTGGGCAGGACATTCTGGCATGTGGTGTTTCGCCAGTTTCGCCCAGACGTTCGTTTCATAGGGCATATGTGATATCTAATAGTGTGATATTGAAAACTCCTAAGTCTTAAGGCGACGCGTCAGCGATTGACTCTAAGTATCTCTCTTCTCTACCACCACCATCTCCCCGAGTCTCCCGCCTCCCCTCGCTGTCTCATGTCAGTTTCTTGCGGCCGCTCTCGCACCGAAGGTGCGTCGCTGTGGATACCATACTGCTCTGATGCTGACTTCGTCTGGGTTCTAGGTTTCGTATCATAGATTATCCAGCACGTCCCTATAAAGGTGCATATATGCTACTTGTATCTTACATCTGATCTCACCCGAGCCAGCAGGACGCGTCAGCCGTGATCGGAAACTCGAACATCGCTCGGCATCAAGAGGGGCGCGGGACGCGGGGGGCGCATGGACATGAGGGTGCGAGGGCGCACGAATTCGTGAGGGCGCGCGCCGCGCGGGGGAGGGTACGCGGGGAGGGGTCGCGAGAGTGGACGCACGCGTGTGCAGTTTCGCCCCGTAGATTCTGTCATTATCTGGACCCGTGCCAGAATACAGCAGGTTTTGCCAGATCCGAACAGTTGTTGCCAGTTCTAGCCAAAAAGCACCGTACGTAGGAGGAAAGGACGGGCAGAACACGATCGGCCGGTGGGTTCTGGTCGTATCTGGGAAGCCCCGACCGTTGTCAAAACAGGACAGTCGTGGCCAGAACATGCCAGACGGCGGTCAGAAACTGGGCGATTTTTCCTGGCATAGTGCCCCTCTACCGGTGCGCGCCGGCAATTTCTGACTTGCCAGTATTTGGCAGTACTCGCCAGCCCTCGCCAGGGGGACTTTTCACCGGGCTGTAAGACCAAAAGCCTGCCGTCAGATCGAAAAAACAGCGGAGATGTCATCATGAACACTTCATTGAATGCCGCCTCCATCGTCCTCCATCGGTCCGCTGACCAAGTAACCCCGCCGCCGTCCGACGGCTGCAGTGTTCTTGGATAGAACGGTCTAGCGACGAGCGTAAGCTAGAAAGTAGTTGGAGTCGTCCTCGTCAACCGAGCGATACGGGCGCTAATAGACACGTGGCGATGACGTCACGCGTCGCCGCCTCGACAGACGCGCGCGCAGACTTCGTTTGCTCGTTCGCTCGCGCTCTCGACAGCGTTGGACGCACGCCTGTCCTAGCCTACCACTGACATATCGTCCATCTCAACGCTGGCGAGCTGTTACCGCAGGCCGTCATCTCATCGCGGGGCCTGCCCGCTGCGTCCTCCCTGCGACAAAGACCGCTAGTATGGCTGTAGGTGATACTCGTCCGTGTGCTGCTCTATCACCATCTTGCTCACCGATAGCCCACAACAATCTCGCACTCGTCTCTCTCCCGGCCTGACGCACACCCTAGCTCGGCCGAACTCGGTTTTTCCACCAACCCATCCCTCACGGCTTCCATCCACATCTTCCTCGACCTGACCTGCCCCGCCGCACCAACCATGCGCAGTCGCCCTCCACACACAGGCCTACAGCTCCCCACACTCGCTATATGCGCGAATATCCGCCCGGCGCGAACGTACGTCGGACCCCGTTACGACCACGTGACCGCGTGCTCATGCCCGTTCCTCGCAGCCTCGTCCCGCCCACCTCCACTCGTCTCTCTCTCCTAGGCCTACACCAGCTCCAGATACGCGTCCCTTATCTCCTGCCCCAATCACTCGACGCTGAACACGGCGGGATCCCCTCCGCGTTGTCAGCATACGACGCCGGCCCGCTCTTCTCCCCCTACACCAGACCCTGGGGGCTCTCCGAGTCTTCAGCCGTGTGGGCTGAGATGTCGCTGGCATAGTCTCCGCAAATTGCAAGGATCGCCTGCACGGGATCACAGCGGTATTATGTGGCGTGTCCTGTGATGCAAAGGTCAGCTGCTGACCAGGATATGCGCGTTTGGAAGTATAGAGATGACTTACAGGCGACCAGGGAGGTAATGATCTTTCCAGACGGTGAGTTGTGCGACCCGCTATATAACTGAACACGACGTATTGCGGATACGCCCCATCTGTCCTGACAGATCGAGAATCATAGCATCACCCACAGCACGTGTGTACCGTTGTACCACATACACCGCAGTATGATTACCCCTGCAAACTTGAGCCGTAGATTCCGTACGAGATCTGACAGATACTGCGATGCTAGCGAGCGAGCGAAGCATCGCTCGAAGCGGCCTGACGACGCGTAACAGCGTGGGTAGGTCAAGAGATGCATCTGTCATCATGCGCAAGAAAGAGGCTTTAAAGTTTGCTGCAACGTATTTCATTGCCAGTGATAGTTTGTAATCAACATTCAACGTTCGATATCGCAACCAAAAGGTACAAACACTCACATATATCGTACAGCTATTCAGTGGCACGGACATACCGACTCTTGCGAGCCTCCGCCGCCACTTCGACAGCCCGAAAATGCCGTCTCGGGCACGTCATTGGTGGCATACGCTGTTGTGGCAAAGCCCGTGGCGGTACTGCAATCTCATACTGCCAAATCTGAAATTCAGAGTTATTATGAGATGTACATCGAAGCCAGCGAAGATCCCGGACTCACCAGCTATAGCATGAACACGGCGCTTCATCATGAGACATACATAACGCGAGCGAGCGAGGGCGAGTGGAACGTTCGGGATAAGCAAGATAAATCAGATATACAGGGAATGCGCAAGCAAGACAGATCGGGCACGATGCAAGCATATACAGGGAAAGATCAGAGACGTGAGATCGTAAACAAACAAACAGTGATTGTCCCTCGGCGCCGCATCACCCGGTTCCAACGAAAGAAGACCACAAAGTCTGGAGCAAGCGCTTTCTTAGCGTCGATATTGACTGTGCACATCCGATATCTGTTGGGCTCACTCACCACGAGTCGTTCGAGATACCACTTCTTCACTCGCTTGCGGCGGCGGAGAACCACACAGAGTCATCAACGTCCACCGCCGGGCCCCGAGACGACCTTGGAAGAGCCTCGTCCTCCTCTTCGGTCTTTCCCATCCCACGTATGCCCCGGGCGAGCTGGAGCGACCACGCCGAGCGGTTCCCCCCATTGGCTGTCTTCGCTCGCAGCGACTGAGAGCGCGTCGTCTCCGTCCCAGTCCGTAGTCACACTAGGCGTATCCATGCTCCAGCTGCCGTAGTCGCGTGCCATAGACGACGCGGAGATGGAGGAATCAAAAGCCCAGCTGGTCCAGGCGCGCTCAGGCGGAGTTGTAGCGGCATCGGCGTCTTCTACAACGCTGATAGCAGGGGAACTCTTCGGCAAGTCCTCGTTGTTCCCCTTGACGGAAGGCGCAGAAATGGGGAGCGCCTTACCCCATCCGCTCCACGCAAAAATGGAGAGTGACTTGCTCCATTCGCGCCATGTAGATTTGGAAGCGGGGGCGGAGAATGTAGGTGTCGTGTTATCACGAGAGTTCTTCAACGCGAGGGCTTCGGCTGCCCCCCGACTGCTCCCCTCGGAATGCACGCCATCTGACTTTGATTCGGAACGCAACGCGGTGGGAGTCGGCCTGCTATTGGCGGACTGGAGCACCGGTCCACCGAAGGACGACCTGCGTTGGAGATGAGGGGGAAGGGGCCTCGTGAGGATGAGGGATTGCGGCGGCGGTGTGCCCGGCTTGAGATAAGCACGCAAGCCGCTTGCGAGCGGTACGCGCGGACTGGCACCCAGTGGCATTTTCCTGGTCTTCTTCGCGTGCTCCCCGCGCCTCGCCATCCACTCCTGGAGCACTTTCTCGAGCTCCTGGTGCGACATTTCGCTGTTGATCTTCCATACGTGCATATCGTAGAAAAGACAGGTGCCCTTTGCGCACACGATGTCGTGCAAAGGACATAGCTTGAAGTTCTCTGTGGTCTCGTCGTGGTCGTACAAATCGCCGGCGCCTGCCTTGAGCTTTCCCTGCGCTTTCGTGTTGGGCAGTATTTGCACGGAACCGACTGCGATTTAGTGTGAACAATGGCAGAAATATTAACATGAACCGGGAAATCTGGTAATGTGTAAGTGTACATACCTCCACTCGAATCCACGTGTATGGTCACGGGAATCTTGTCCAGGGTTTTCTTGAAGTCATCCGGATCGGGCCATTCCACGTACTGGGAGTCCGCCAGAAGGCGGTACCATAGTGAGGCGACGTTTCACGCACCAAAGCAGTACTACAGGAAATTCTTACCTGGCTTGCGAATATCTTGTAGAGGTCTTTTTCTGATGCGATTGCAGTACGCGCACTCGAGTGCTGAAATAAAATATATCAGTGCGTGCTTCGCTAGCGGGAGGGTAGCATGCTCAGGACGCACCTCCAGGATGTAGTTTAGGAGGATGTCCACTGGGTCCTTCACCTGTCAATATTTTCATACGGGTCAGCCGACATTCACAACTTCGTTCTCCCGGGATGCCACTGCGTACCTCAAACCGCGCGGGCTCGGTGACGTACTCCACAATATCTCCCTGTGATGATAGGCCTGCTAGATCCCGGACGTCGCTCTCGAATTCGACATCGGCTGCCGAAGCTAGTAGCTGTGGCTCGAATTCGGTATCATCCGGGTTCCGCGGGAGCTCGTCTGGGCCTGCCCCCGCCTTCAGAAACCGAAGGAACTTTTCGAGTCGCTTCTTCCTTTTTAGGGTGTGAACGAAGATGCACTGGTCGTAAGTCATTTCTTCGGGGGAATGTGGGAGAATAGACTCGGACGGCATTCCAGCGGGACGTGTGGTGTGTGGAGATGGATGCGTAGGCTGTAGTTTCGGTGGCCCGACGCGGTAATGACTCGTTGGGAGGGCTTCGTCCGAAATCGACATGGAAAAGCTCGCCGTCCCCGTGCCCGCAAGGCTACAAGTGAGCGTACCCTGCTTGTTCCGGCAGCTGCTTCGAAACGCTGCAACTGCCCACTGGGCCGTTGTCGTCGTTCCCGTGACAAATCGGATGTCGTCCTCTCGGATGTTCAGCCCTACGGTGTCGTTGGCAAAGCTGAGCCAGCTGTCAAAGTTCGCGTTCATGTAGTTTGCAACAGCGCGCTCCGAGAGAATGTCGTGCGTCATCGCGCGTGGGTTGACCATGAGAAAAGCGCCTGAATCCCCCGAGCAGCGGAAATTGAAATCAACACTTCCGGAGGTGCCAGAAGGCGCAGGTCTAAGACAATGTGTTCAGTCCTCACGGTAAGTCAGTGGCGTCGAAAACGGATGGAGGCTGACGCACCCATTCACCATGGCCCCGCCAGAGATTTCCCTACGATGAATGGTACGGCTGCATAAGACCCTCTGCCAAATCTTCTCGCGCGGTCCCCAAATTTGAAGTCCTTTGGGGTTCAGAGGTGCGAAGTTGGCAGGGACTGCGTCCATCGGCTGGGCGACGTGTGCCTCCCGCAAAGCGTTGAACAAGACGTGAAACTCGCCTTCGTGCACCCATCCTACATCGCCGATCTGAATGGGGGCTTGTCCTGGGGCGGGATCGGGCACCCATAGCGGGTAGCCGTAGCCCAGCGAAATGAGCTGCTCTGCGTAGATGTCCCAGGCGGCAGTGCTCATCGAGTGCAGAGGATGTGGTAGGAGACAGGGAACAGGGTGTCGGGGGAAGTCTTGAGACCCTTTCTCGCGAATGTCATGAACATCGTGCCCTCAGAGGACATTTCGAGTCTTATTAAACGTTATTTCCACTCTGTGAGAAAGTGTTCATAGCGCGTAAATGCAGTCTTCATCGCAATGCCACGGGAGTCAAGGTCTCGATATTTCTAACATGAAGGGCAAAGATGTTCATCGGCGTCCCTAGAGGCGAGCTAGTTGCGCTGTCTGAGTAGCATATAAACCAGTATGAGATAAATTGAACTCACCTCACACGGGTTCGGTACTGAACGTGAGATTCGGAGGCCGCCGGTCATTGCGCGGGCACACGACGAACCCGGATTCTGCGAGTAACCATACACAACCAAAAACGTGGCCGGCCTCGCCTGAGATGACTCGTGCAGTGCGCTAACAGGCGAGGCGAAAACGAGGAAAAGGTGAGGCAAAGGCGAGGCGATGAGTAGAGCGAAATATATGACACACCATTACAGGACAATCTCCGCGCTGGAGCCGGGCAGTTTGAATATGTGCCGACCGAGCGCGCTTTGTCCACCCCGGAGAGACGTCCCAGTTCGACCCGTGTCACGACATTCCTGCTCAGCGTTGCATCCGGGCCACCAAGGGAGCGGGGTCGAATATGGCCACGTTTTGCCTCTGGAGCAGCGCACGCGCACGCGGTCGCAACGCCTACTAGTAGTGGCAGACCAGCGCTGCTGCGACGACAATGGCGAGTACGGCGGCAGTGAGTACGGCAAACACGAGAGCTGGAATCGGTAGACTACGTACGTGGCGGGAGGGCGCGGAAGCTACATTCACAGTGCTGGGATTTGGCGGGGTGGAAGGGGCTGTATTGACGGGCGGTGGTTTGTACTGAGCGCGTTCGCCCAGACGGAGGTGATTACCGGCGAGCTGCGTACTTGCATTGCAGAAGTGGAACCGGACATGCATGTGGGCGTGAACGAGGACGCTGACTACACCTTCGGAGTGTGCTGGGTTTCGCTTGGCCTGCGTGAAGGCTCGAGATGGCTGCCCGCCGCGGCGTGGAGACGAGGGTGTCGCAAGGTCAGCCCTACCAGACAGGAGGTCAGCTACCGACTGGGACAAGCGTAAATCTGGGCGACGGTAGATTTGTTCCACTTACGGGCGGCTGGCTGACGGGGCTATGCAGGTGCTCTCTTCGGGTGGACGCTATAATCATGCTGTATATACATCGATGAGTGATGAATCATATATCGGGAATGTTAGGCTCGTCCTACACGGTCACTGGCAATGTTCACGATGAGGGCATGACTGCTTTGCCGGATGCAGCACCGCCGTGCAGCGGCAGCATTTGAACATCGGATCCAGGATGTGGACGTCCTCTTGCAAGTGCAAAAATCTGACTCAATTCATTGTACCAGCAAAGCCGAGCAACGCCACGCAGCTCGGAAAGACGAGCTACCATGATACAATGCGAGGAGCAGGCGTTGCAGTCACCTACAGCATATTGCGAACAGCTCCCCATCAGTCCCCGCAATCTCGTCCAACGGATCGATACACTCACATGTTTGAAGCGGGCCTATGTAGCCCAGGGAGACAGGCTCGCTAGAAGCACACCCGCGATTCTGAGAAGCTTCGCGGGGCGCGTTCGCGTACGGTGCGCGGCAGTTGAGACCGGGTGCGTAGGCAAAATAACCTCGTTTTCGGTACAAGTAAGTACGCGGAGCGTAGGTCCACGAGAGACAGGCTTACTACGTCTCGTTTGATTATGCAACTGGAACATTTGACGATATCTGCGTGGAGTCGCGCGACGCGCATCCGGGAGCAATGCGCTAGATTTACGGCTGATATTTGAAAATTATGTGTTGTGTAAGCGTATGGATGCCTTATGCGCTGAAGTACTCACATGGACCGATCGTAACTCGTAAGAACTGCATTCTTGTTGTCAATCAGTTGTCAGGCATAGGCGTTGATGCAGAGGTTGCTACCATGAACGGCCGAGAAGATATACACTGCAAGGAGAGGTTTTAGTCGAAACATCCGTGACCTCAAGGGCAATATATCAGGTATATGTATGCGTACCTGGTTGCGCAACACCCAAATATTCGATATGGTCGTAGACAAAGCAGCAGGCTGAGATTCATGCGGCCAAGGCCTCAAGAGCGCCGAAGAGACACGTGGCAATGACACACTGGCGTGGGCGCTTAGGACTTTCATGCAAACGGCCTGCGAGCGCGGTCCTGCTACGTACACTATAGATATATTGCCGCGGTTAAGTGCAAATTCACAGCGGATAACAATGCCAATACCTCACCGAAGAGACAAGACCCCATCCACTAGCTAACAGACGACGTCCGACACATCCGCCACATCTATCTGTGCGGCTCGTACGCAGGCAGTGGCTCAGAGCCATCACTATCCACAGAATGCGAGTCCCCATCCGCCATCATAGCTAGCACGCGCTGACCAAACACCCATGGGAGCGTGAGATTGAGAAACCGCTCGGTAATATGTGCATCCGTCGCCGTTTCCTGTCCAGGCGCAGCCGTGGAAGCGCCCTGAGGCACGGCGTGAATGTCGGAGGTGTCCGGAATCTGCTCTGTTGAGGATGGTACGGGGATCGGCGGAGGGAGAGTAGGGAGCTCCTGCCCATGGTGTTCGCAGTCTTTGGGGTCCGCGCGAACGGCGAGTAGCGACCGGGATGAGGGCGAAGGTTCCAAACTCGGTACGCTACCATAGCGCGCACCACATGAGCTTCCTGACACGAGGGAATGGGCGCGCGAGTGAGTCTCGGGGACGCTGTCGTCGGCCTGAGCCTTGGAAGGAACATGCGACCGCGAGCGCATTACCGGGACATTAGCAGAGAGGAAGGGATCGCTAGTGTTCGATCCGGAGGTGTTGTTCGGCGGCGAAGGCAGCCTGCGGGTGCGGGCTCGCCGTCGACGCACCCAGGAACGGAGCAAAGCGACTCCCATGGCAGTGGTGAGTATGGAGGACACAATGGTTCCTGCAAGGGCCGGAGTGGATATTGACGAGATGGGGTGGGAGGGGGCTGAGTCCGTAATGGAAGGAGGGGCTGGCGTCTGGAGAAACGATGAGGCGCCACTGGAAGATGTCGGCGGATGGGAGCTCGTATCGGGACTAGCGGCCGAAGCACGGGACATTTCCGGTGAACTGAGCGCCGTGATCTCCAGAGTCGTGGTAATGGTGGTCGCAGAAGTCGCGGTGAACTGGGGAGCCACTCTTGTAGGTCCAGCAGAGGGTTCAATGGAGGAATGTGTGACTGTAGGCAAGGTGGGGCCTGACGGCGGCTGAACCTGGCTCGTGTTGGCTAAGGAGGTAGATGGTGGGATAGACAAGGTGCTCTTCAGCGAGTCGGGTGCCCCGGTCCTGTCTTGTGTGGACGTAGGGAGGACTCCACTTGGGTCGAGTCGGTCGTGGTAGGATTTATGGATTCCAAGTTACAGAACGCACAACCCTGCGGAAGTTGGTATATAGGGCTTAACGTGCCGGTCTGCGGAGACATGGTTTGGGGAAAAAGGGACGAGGCCAATGTCGATCACGCTCAGGATGTTCTACGCTGGATGTGAGCGACTGCCGTGAAGAGACACAGATGGTACGCCGGTCTACTTACTGTGAGGGCCTAGGAATGCTATGACCCGTTCTGACAATGGACGGCACGAAAGTCTGCTATAAATGTACTGTTTCTGCATCAAGAAGTATGTCGGCGCTGGAGTGAGCACTAGCCTTCCGGTGAGAAGCGTTGGCCGAGAAGGGCATGGGCGTCACGTACGGATGAATCCCATCATGAGTCTCATCTACCATAACAGATGAAGAACAACGGCACTCAATGGTAGTGTTCGCGTGCGGTTATCCCGTGTGCACCATCGCGGTCTGACGCTGAAGAAAGATCAGAGATGCCGTGCGCTGAGTTTAAAGTGCATCAGTCTGGAATTTGAATATCGTAGGGACAGGGCGAGTATCAGACCAATCTCGCGATGCAGAGCAGAGAACGGCGCACCAGAAACACATGAATTACTATCATGCGAATAAAATGTTAGTTACCGATCAGCATTCAATCATGCATTTTGATAGGTCCGAACACTCACATATCTAGTACATACGATGTCCCGAGAACACATCGGGGAACCTCTTACTGTCTTTATGATTCTGATTGTCCAAGGAAGTTGCCTCGTGTAGGTTTCCATGCCACAGGTTTCGCGCAGCCTGTGAGGCAACGAGTCTAGAACTCCACATACCACGCTCTCCTTGCCAAGCATCAGACGCCCCGACACGAGCCCGCATCTGCCGTCTGCGCTACGGATGCAGACTCCGTACGTTATCCCAGAAGGGCAGCAGAGAAAAACGCAACCACCTCACCCCAGCCCACCCTCACACTTCGCCACATCGCTATCCGTGCGGCTCATACGCAGGTAACGGCTCCTCCACTCCGCTCTCCCCACGCGCATCCTCGCGCGCGATAACGGCTAGCACGCGCTGCCCGAGGACCCAGGGGAGCTCAAAACGGAGGATCCGCTCCGAGTGGCTCGGCGCACCCCCGATCTCTTCGATCTCGGGTGCGACGGGACTTCTTGGGAGGGTGGGGAGAAGCGATGGCGAAGGGCCGTGGCTCGGGAGCTCCGGTTCCGAAGACTCGCGATGTTTGTTGTCCACGTCGACAGTGAGAGTGGGAGTCCGCCGGGACGAAGACGAGGGCGAACACGCGAGAGTCTCGGCGCTGCCGTCCAGCGCGCCGCGCGAGCGTGCCGAGCCGAGGGACGACGTGCTTGCGCCGCCGTCTTGAACGCCACTGTCCGCCTGGTGCTTCGAGCCAACGCGCGCGGTCGTAAAGCGACGAGCGTGGTCGGCTACGATAGCCATGTTCTGCCTCGGGAGCAGCGCACGCGTACGCCGACGTCGCACCCAGCAACGGACCAGAGCAGCGGCGACGGCAACGGCGAGTACGGCGGACACGACGGCGCCTGCAAGGGCTGGTGTCGGTAGGCTATGCTCATAGGACAGACCGGGGGCTGTACTAACAGCGCTAGGAGCAGGGGGCGGAGGCGACGGGCTGACGCTTGGCACTGTCGATGGTTGTTGGCTCGTACTGGGCGCGTTCTTTGAGACAAGTGAGATTACCAGTGAACTGAGTGCTGGTATGCCAGAAGTGAACGTGAAAGCGGGTGTTGAGATGGACGTGGAAGCGGAAGCGGACGTGGTAGTGGGGAATGGGATCTCCGGACCGGGTCCCAGCATCATCGCCGTCAGCGTGCTCGACCAGTCAGGATCCCCAGACACGTCCTGCATCTCAGAGGTCGTCACCGTGCCAAATGTGCCGCTATCCGGACTTGTGAATGTTGTAGGCGACAAATCTATAGAGCAGAACCCATATCCGTTGCTTATGCACTCGGAGCGTGCTGGGCCTCGCATGGTCTGCGCCGGAAGTGAGGTATGGTTGCTGGCCGCGACGCAGGGCTATGTTCGTGTTTATACAGTCTGTCCTACTGAATAGGACGTCAGCTATTCACACAAATACAGGAAATGTCGAGAGACAGGGGATATGTTTGACTTACGGATGAGTATGCGGGGAAGCCGCGCAAATACTCTCTTGAGGGCTCGCCGAGGACGCTATAAACATGCTGTGGAAGCATCGATCATGCACCGGGTATGGAAGATTGACCTGCAACATGTTCGACGGGACGATCGGCAGCGCCCGCAGTGAGGGAAAGGCGCAACTGCCTGGCCGGACGCAGCACGAGCGTACGCGCCGGTGGCATCTAGACACAGGATCCATGGTTGTGGGAGCCGTCTTGCGAGTCGAAAAGTCCATCATACCCTATCGAAGCAGTAAGGCAGAGAATCGCCACCATGCATGGGAGAAAAGGGAGCTGCTAGCGTGATTGAAGATGCGAACCGTGCAGTCGCCCGCAGCATATGGCTAACAGCTCGCGATCAGCCCCCATGTGGTCGTAGAAGAGATGTGCGGACTCACATTCCTGTTACATTGCTTGCTCATCCCGCAGATACGGAGGCTTCCAAAAGAACTGCCGCGGCGACTCCATGAATATTCCTTCCAGTGCGGCAACGATGTCCACGAAGTTGACTTCGGGTTCCTCCTGGGGAGCGCCGTCAGCGAGCTGGATAACAGCAGGGCAAAGATCCCTGTGAGTTCGAAGAAGCCGAGGAATGCATAAGGCGAGGTCCAGCTTGCGAGTTCCGAGCAGAGCGAGAGTCATCATGAGGTAGATCGCAAACCGAACCCGATGCAGCGAGCGGTTCTCAACTTGACGCTGATCGTACTGGCGAAATCTTTAGATGACCCGTTGTGCAGGCGAGACCCCACGAGCGTCTGATGGTGTCCGCATGTAGCCATGCAACAGCAGAGTGATGTGCTCGTTCTATGGCTGTAATTTGGCTTGAAACGTCTCAGCAGCGAGAATACCCCACACTATCTGCAGTACTCACCAGAAGAGGTCGTAAGAACTCCGGGATTCGCGTTATTCTTCAATGGGTATGAGTATGCTTATGTATAAGTACGTACCTCGTTGCTCATCACGCATTCTAAACGGCCATGGACGTTGAAACGTTGAAGCTGCTCTCAGCGAAGTCCTTCGCTGGGCGACATGCAAACGCTGAGTAGACACGTGGTGATCATCAGCAAACGTGCAGGTTTTCTCCAGCACGACGAGGAACGACACGGATGACGTGGAGGTACGCGTCAGATGGCCGCGCGACGCTCGCTTTCTGCGTCGCTATGCATAGCGCCCGCGGCATTGGTCGCGCGCCGCCGACTCTCGAGAACATGGTCGCGCGAGACCATGATCATGTAGAATGCCATGTACGAGGATCACACGCCGCCAATGTATGCAGCACTATATAGCATAACATATATACGCTGAAAAGCAATAGATATGAGTCCGCGCGACCGCCCCGTCCAAAGCCCAGTCGAGTGACTCGAGTACCCACCAACCTACAAGGGTGCAAACCCCTCAGCCGCGAAGACGAGGTCGGGATAGTAATCGTCGTCTTCGGGTGCATCGTCGCCCTCCGCGTCCTCATCTACGAACTCACCATCCTCATAGTACTCGTCCTCGTCCTCGTCCGCCTCGTCCGCCTCGTCCTCTTCATCCTCATCTGCCTCCACGACGTCCTCCTCAATCTCGTCCTCTTCGTCTTCGTCTACGGTGTCTTCATCCGAGGTATCCTCGTCTGTGTCTTCGTCTTCGTCAACAGCGTCCTCGTTTGCCAAGCCTTCGAGCAAACCCTCGTTGTCGTCAACCATGCGATCGCGGCGCTCGCGTGTTCGTCTAGCAGCTGCACGCATATCGCGCTCACTGGACAACGGGTCGCGCGGAGATGATGGGTCGTCTGGAAGCTCGCGCGGGGATGACGGGTCGTCTGGAAGCTCGCGCGGGGATGACGGGTCGGCCATGGATTGCGCGTCACGCTGACTGTCTGCGGATTCAGACGAGTCTGCCTCCAAGGCCATCAGAGCGCGTGTCCGCAGCGCGTTCAACTCCGAGTACTTGACGTCTTGCCATGTGGCGCAATGTCCAACGCCACCGCCGAGGTACCGCATGTACATATCCCGGTCGACAAACCTGTATATCATGATTAGTTATAGACAACTTGAATACTACCGTAGAGTCGGAGAGGACACTTACATGCAGGCATAGTAATAGCGATAATCTTCATCATTTTCGGAGGCATGCCGAGCTAGGGGCGAAGGCAGCAGGAGCTCGTCGGTGAAGCCATGGTGGAACGCGGGCAGCAGGTAAGCCCCGCGGACAACATCGGATGGGTTGACAAATCCGAATGGGGGTGTATCCAGGTCGTTGGCGTCCACAAAGGAAAGGCGTGGCAGGCGTGCTTCTTGGAAGCCGGCCGGGGTGTTGTCATTGTCCAAGCGGTACCATCGCACCCAGAGGAAATCCATGCGCAAGCCCTCGCGCATGAGACGAGTCGCTCCGGCACCAGTGTAGCGTACATTAGCGTGGAATATATCTATGACCCGAGCGTACCAGAATGGGTGGGCGGAGATGGGGTCATCAGCGAGCAGCATGATGTCGGGGTGGGTGGTCGGTTTGATGATGTCTTGATCACGCCGGATGTCATATGTCGTGTAGTTGATGCGCAGGACCTTGTGGCTATAGATGCGGTCATTTTGTACTTCAATGTGGTCGAGCTGTGCATCGGTGAACACGCCAGGTCCACCACCTTCCCCGGGCGGCAAGTCGAGTAGTCTACCGAGGAGGTGTGCACGGAGGAGAGGAATAAAGTTCTGTGTGGTACTGTCAGTAGTAGGACAAAAAAGAGATGTGCTACGTACGTCTGCCGCTGGGTCGTTACGATTCTTGGAGATCCAATTTCGCATACCTAGCGCGAGGCGTGAAGTGTTCGAGATGGCGTAGTGGACGAGAGGGTTGGTCGGCGGGAGCGGTGAATCCGGGCGAGTGTCCGCATCGTGTCCACTGGGCTCCGGACGTGACGACATGGATGGCGGGGCCATATGAGCTAGGCGATCTTGCCTGAGACGTTCGCGGCGCGGGACATAGTCATCGAGCTGCCGAATCGCGCGCATGAGCGCGGCGCGGCGTAGATGCTTGGCGATTTGAAGCTCGTATCCGATTTTGTTTGTCCGTGCATAAAACCTCTTGACGTGGCGATGTTCGAGTTCGCCCTGCATAATCATTAGCAAAGGAAGCTGGCGAATATTTGGTCACTTACTACTTGCGTGCTCCCGGTGTCACTCGGGCCAGTCATCTCGATTGCATCGGGGTAATCCGGGACACTGTGGAACTTGAAGGTGTTCAGCGTGTTGTAGTGCACTGTGCGGCGTTCGCGAGCTTCGGGCGGTACATTGCGACCGCGCTTCTCCTTACAGCGCACGCGGGCATCAACTTCCCTAGGGAGCTCGTGCGTCTCCCATTGCTCACAGGTTGTTGCCGCGAAGTGCCGCATGGCGTCCGTCATGTGTGTCATTGCGGCGCGGAGGATCTTGATCGTGACGGCGGTATGTAGCCTCAGCTTCGCAAGCGCGTGCCAGTTTGCGAGCTCGAAGAGCAGGTCGGCGATGGTTTGGTCGTCGCGTAGTGGCATGAGCCCTTCAAATGCAGGTATCATGACCTGAACGACCAGGTCAGTGCGCATGAGGGTAAGATGACGAGGACAACTCACTATCAAGAAGTCCTCGTAGTCCCGAGCTGCGAGCTGCTTGCGAGAGCTCACATCCTTCCAAAACCGGCGAATCTTGTCTTGACCAAAAGTCGGCATCGCACGCATCCTGCCAAAGACCCGCATGAGCACAGTCACTGTGGAAATCAAATTTGAATGTACCGTCGGTTAAACTCTTGCACTGCATCGTCGCCTTGGGCAGCCAGAAGTCGTAGCAGATGGGTGAATGTCCCCTTCCAGATCCCGAGCTCGAACTCGTGCATCAGGTCGGGGACGAACAGTTCGTATGCGTTGACGCCGAGGTCCCCAAGATGCACGGAGAAGGCGGACTGTTTGTTGAGATGGGTTAGTGAGATCAGATGACCGACAAAACAGGAACAACAATACATACCTGTATGGGGTTGAGGGACTGATAGTCCAGGAGGGCCTTGAGCTTCTCGCTCTTCAGTGAGCGTCCCTTCTCAAAGATCTGTTTGCGTGCACGATTAATTCGTTTCCGAACCTTCTTGCTATCCCTGCGCTTGTCGGCAGCACGCCGTATCATGTCCTCAGGGGTTCCAGCATCGCAGAGGTCATCATGGGATACAAGACAGCGTGGGCAGGGATGTTTTGAGAGTGGCTTGAGGGCGGTCAGGAGAATTCTGCAACAGCATGCAACACAGGATCAGGATCAGGATTGTTGTGCAGTCGTGAGAGACTCACTTCTCAGGATAGTCAGCCGAGTACGAAAAAATGCGCGGAAAGATGCGCCGGGTGACTCCATTGCCGCAGATGACCAAGATTCCATTCTTGTACGCATCCATGAACTCCTCGTCGAGGAGTAGCAGCCAGATGCGCTGCATGAGCTCGCGTTTGCAGAAGGTGAGGACGTCGGTTGAGGGAGACGTCTTGTACTGCTCTTTGTAGTAGTCACGCAGCTCGTCAGGGAGCTTAACATCTATGTGAGCAGGGCGGCGTAATGCAGATGAGCGCACTACTCACAGATGGTATATATGCAAGATGATGAGCGGCGAATTCTGTCGGCATCCCGCGGATGTACTTCGAGAGATTACCGAGGTACATGTAGATCGGCCAGAGCGCCGCTGACCCGAAACTGGTGAGATGGGTCATGTCCGACCAGAGTAGAATTGCGGCGATCCCGTACTCGACACTCGCAGCATCGGCGGGATTGCGTGGTTGTGCTCGAATCTTCTCAAACTCCTCATTCATCGCGTCTGCATTGTACGTATCAGTGATTATGCGGATGGGATTGACGGGGTGAGGAGGGGCTGCGCCTTCGATGCGTGGCGTCCAGAACAGCTTGTGCGGGATCCAATGATACTGCTCCGCAAAGCGAGTGTCCTCTGCCGCAGCTCGGATGAGTGGTATGAGGCGGCGATGATAGATGCCGCCAACTTTGAATTTGGGAGCCGCATCCTCAGACGCGTACTTGGTCCCCGTCTTGGGCAGTGGGATCTCGACTGAGCCCTCTGTCCAACCGTCCTCCGCGGAGAAGATGCCCCGCGGATGGACGTAGTCGTCGAGTATCTTCTGAGCCATTTCCGCGCGGAAACCCTTGAGGTCGTCGGCTGAGAATCCTTTCGATGTCACGGCATCGATGAGGTCGTCGAGGTCTTCCTTCGATTTGGTGAGAGAGGAATTGTAGAACCAATCGTAAATCCGAAATTGGGATTTGTTGGGAAACGGGCCGACGTCCGAGGAAGCGGGGGGCGCGTTCCCAGCAGGATCGGCTGGGTTGGCAGGCTTAGCTGGCTCAGCGGTTCCGATGGTGTCAGCAGGGGGAATGGCGAGTGCCGAGTGGCGTGTCAGCCAGTAGATACTCTTGTACGTCTGTTCCGGCGGCTCTACAGCTTCCTTGGCGAGGGTTGGGGCGTCACACCTTGTGGCGAGGCCTGCGTGCGCCTCTGGGTCCTGCTGCGGTGCGACGGTATACTCTCGGTAGAGACCGAAGAAGTTTGGCGAGGCGCGGAAGATATCCGGGAGGGGGACCGGTTCTTCTTCAGGGTCTTCGACAGTCGGGGAGACATACCGCGAGCGTGGTGGAGACGGCACTGCAGCTTCCGCAAAACCTTGAGCTACGTGAGGGGGCAGGTCTTGCAGGTTTGTCGGCACAAAGTCATCGAGTAGTCTGGGCACACGGAGGACACGCCCGCTCCGACGAGCAGTGTGAATGGGAGGGGGACTAGGACGTCTGGGTACCTGAAGATATACATAAGATATGCAAAACAGAGATGAAAATGGTAGCGCACCGGCGCATCATTGACACTATTCATTCCCTCTAGCCGTACCCGTTTTCGAGCACGTTTCTCCTTTTCCTCCTCGTCGCGGGCGCGTTTTGCGAAGGCTTCGACCATCCCAGTGATCCTCAGTGTGCAAGTCTTGCTGTGAATCCCTAGACCATTGTCGGTTGGTGAGGTAAAATCACATCCAGGAGCGTCACAGAAGAGCATTATGTATAAGCAGAGGGTTGTGCAAGTGAGAGAGCGATTCAGAGAGAGGCACGTCGCGATGCGCAGGACTCGTCGGTGCGGGGAAAGCGGTCACATGACTTTTATGAGCAATGCGTCGCGTCTCGAGCGCCTAGGCATCTCACTGCTCCTCGACTCTGGCCCGGCTTCTCTTCCGGATTGGGATGGTATAAAAACGCATTCTTTCCCGCCTCCTCTCATTCCGCTGCTTGTCCTTTAACCCCATCATCACCATGGCTGGAGGATTCACCGGACTCATGCGCGTACAGCGCAGGAAAGGGTCTCGCACCGAGCACCTCTTGCCCGTCAACCCATCATCCTCTCCACCTTCCTCCTCTCTGCCAGGACGCTCACCATCGCCTCCATCTCCACCGCCACCTCGCCTGATGCCACCGCCTGCGTTGCCATCCCCTGAACCCCGCTCTCCGGCTCCTCACGCCTCAGGAAGCTCCCGACATGCGCGTGCTCATGAGGGCACAAGATCTCGCAACGACGGAACTCAATCGGCTGAAGAAGACAACGCTGCAGAGCGTCGGCCCAGGAAGAAGTCAAAGTCGGTGGGGAAGCCCGTGGTTCAGTTTGACGCACATGTTGTGCGTCTTTACGAGCACCTGGTACTCGGCTCAACGTACGCAACCTTCCTCCACGATGACTATATGCGCACTGATACTCCTGTAGGAAACCACAACGCATCGCCGATGGTACAGAGTTTATGTACAACATCGTGCGGCTATTCCCGCGCGAGATTGGCTGCTTTGTAGGGTACTACCAGGTGCTCACTGACGGCCTCGCGAAGGACGGCACGTATTCGCCCGACGACCCGGAGCAACAATCACCTCTGTGAGTCTCAGTTGTCTGCCTATATATGCACCTACACTGACCTGCTATTGGCTGTACTAGCGTCTGGAGCCGGTACTGGGAAGGCATCTGCTACTTCGATCTCATCAAGTCCGAGTTCCCAGGCCTCGAGTTCCATATGCCTTACCTACGTCGCCACCCGGAGCTTGTCAACAACATGGCTAAATGGGTGAGTGACACCACGCTATATTTGCGCATATACTCACGCATATATGCCGCCAGATGAAGGCTACTGCCGGCAAGGCCCGGAGCGACGACGCCAATCGGCTCAAGGACAACATCCGCGCGATCTTGGGTCTGTCCGAGGAAGTCGAGGACAAGGCCCAGCGTGGGTTCAGCACTCCGGAAACGGGCAGGCTTCTCTGCCCTGTCACAATGCTCGACCGCTTTGACAAAGACCCATACAAGTACGCCCGTAGCCACTGCCCTGGTCCCTATGCACTAATGTTATCCAGGTTCTGTCGGGACGTCCGTGACGGCGTCAAGACCGGTCCTGTCGTCGGAAGCGGGGATTACCCCGTGCTCTTTTACGATATGGACCTCTATGTTGCCGGGAAGTCAAAGCCTGGCCTCTTCAAGAGCCAGGCTCTCCTGAATGTAAGGGCAAGTACACTATCTTCTCTGCCTGTCACTCATTGTCCCTACAGTCTGCCAGGCTTGTCTTTCAAGGTCCGACGGTGGCGAAGAGCTCTGGTAAGAAGAGCAAGAAGAAGGGTAAGGTGGCGCTCGCAACCAAGAACAATATCTGCAAGATCAGCACTTTTGTGATTATCTATATCGCAGTCCTTGTATGCTTCTCTGTATCAGCGCCCTCGAAGCTCGCCGTGCTGATCCTCTGCAGACTCGCTTCGCTATCAATGCTCGGACACAGTGGGACAACGACGACGGTGACTTCATCGGGCAGGAATTCAACACGCTCGTCATGACAGCGTTCCTGGAAGATGATGATTGGCACGACGAGCTTGTTGAATGGTGGAGCCAGTGAGTACTGCATGGTTTGTTGTCTATGACCTATATTTTGATGACCCCGCCAGGGAGCTGTTTGGCAACAAGGACAGCCGCACCAGCCGCCGCGCTACTAACGGACCATCCGCGCACGACCGCTTGATGCTCGAGATCGCTCAAGAGAAGGCCGAAAAGGCCGCTGCAGCCGCCACTGCTGCCGCCTCCGCCGCTCGTACACCGCCGCGCTGCTCGCCCACATAGACCGTACGTCCATACGTCCCACACCGTTTTCAGCACGCTCATGTTTCGCTCTTGTTCACTGACAGGAGGACGTCCCCGGCTCCCTGACGGCACACGGCTCCTCTGCGATCCATCTTCGTCCACCACCTCGCGCGCGGCCCCTGTCCTCGTGCACGGCCCCTCAGGCTGTCCTGATGAACTCTGAACCTGGAAGGCTGTAAGCCGCACAAAGAGAGGTCTTCAGTCTGTGAGAGAACGACTATGATTGCATAGTACTGTACCTGTAAGCCGCACAAAGAGAGGCTACAAGTACTAGTAAGTAAACATGTAAGGAAGCATAGGTAGTATGGGACTTACTCTTCAGTCTGTGAGAGAACGACTGAAGAGCAGAGGCCTGCAGAGTCCTCCTTATATACTACTGGGGAGGACGATGAGTAAGCGTATAAGAAGAGAGCATGTGACGTCCAGAGGACGCTGACTGAGCGATGAGTAACGCTGAGTAAGGGANCATAATCGACATAAGGTCAGATAGTCCA